GCCAGGAAGGGACAGGGCCAGACCCTTCTAACCTGCTCTCCACCCGTGGCCTGTGCCCAAGGCAGGAGAGAACAGTGCATCTTCCTAGGGGAGCCTCCGTCACCAGCGGCCAGCTCCTTGGGCCCTTCAGCCCTCTGATGGCCTTTCTTTTGGCAGAATCAGCCAGATCCTTCCCCTCCCCCCATGCCTAGGGTTGTGCTGCCATGGGGCTGGCTTTCCCTCTCTGCTCCTCCATTTTCTCTCTGTCTCTCTCGGTAAGGGCCGTTTCTTTCGCTTGGCCCACTCTGGAGCCCTTGTGCTTGGATTCTGGACATTGTGGACCAAGGAGCCTACAACCCTATCTTTGGAGGAAAATGTTGGCAAAGATGAGCAGTGCCGAACCCGATAGGTGCACCCTAGCTCAGGGCTTGGAAACCCAGAGAGATCAGGGGTGGGGTGGGGGAGCAGCAGGATGGACGGGGGTCTGGGGAACTGTCCAGCTCCAGTCCGTGTGATCTGTGACTTGATCGTCCAGTTCACAGACGGGCCTGACGTCTAGACTTTAGGGGGAAAAATATCTCCTGTTTGGCTGTTTTGTTTTAATACTGACAACCAAGAGAGTCTAGAATATCCCAGGCTGTGAGCACGGCCATGGGCTGAGGCTGAGGGACATGAATTGGAGACCCCGGGGCCATGGCACGATGTGGTTGGTTTCTGCTGCCCGGTGCCCCTGCCTGTATGCTCTGTAGCACAGTGGGTTGTGCTCCCAGGGTGGAGTCCTGGAGGCTGGAGATGCTAGCATGGATTTGGCTAGTAAGGGTTAGCTGTGAGCGCCGGGCTGGAAGTCCCACGGTACCACATCCCGCCATCAGTGCCATGCCAGCCAAGTGCCATTGACCTTCACCTCCAGTGGTGGGAGGAGCCAGGCTGGGACCCCCGCAGCACAGTGAGAGCAGAAGCAGGACCCCAGTCCAGGCTCCCTCGGCGTCACACAGCTGTTCCACACCTTGGGAGGGGCGGAAATGAATTATGTCCACCTGCTGGGTGGAGGGGTGGGGGGGCCAGGGAGCCAGAGATCTGGGGCCCAGGTAGGAGAGTCCGGCCCCTTGCTTTCCCTCGGCAGGTCCAGGGAAGGGTGCTATGGGTGCTGGCCTGGGGATGGCCACTGGGGCTCTGTGGTCCTGGCACAATTTCCTAAGTCCTTGGTTCCTAACTGAAGTCAGGATTAAGTCATTGAGATGCCACTTGCAAACTAGGGTGCCCAGGCAGTAGTGTGGCCTACCTGCCAATGACCTTCTGACTTTGGGAACCGGAACAAGTGCTGTCATCTCCTTCTGGTCTTCTAGTGGGGGGTGGAGGTCCGGGTTTCGATGCCACCAGCATTCAGTGCCCTTTCTGCCAGGCCCTCCTGACCCTGTGACTGACCTGGGCCTTTGCTGCACATGGCTCCTCATAGAGTCTACACTTTTGTCTTCAGAATAGGGCTGGAGGGGGGCCACCTCCCCCAGGCCAGGGAGCTGGGGGGCATGGAACGGTGGGACAGGCAGCACCCTGCCCTTGCCCACCACACAAGGTGCCCCTTCTGCCCTGTGTCCTGGTCTGAGGGCTGCTGGTCCCCACACCGAGAACACACAGCTCCAGCCACATCCCCAGGGCTTCCCTCCTCCCTCAGAGCCCTGCACCCCTGCTGCTCCCCTCCACAGGGTCCTTTCCTTTGATCCCACAGATGCACAAGCCCTTGTTTGCCAGGCCCTTGTTTGTATATAAACCAGGCTCAGCAGGGTCCTGGCTGTGGCTGCTTTGGGCAATGACCAACCTTTCCCAGGGGTAATATGGATGCAGATCCAGCTCTTGAGCCATCCCTTACCCTAAAACACCAAACATTCCTCCAGCTGCTATTGGAGCCTCTGCCTTCCAGCTGAGCCAGGCAGGGGGCAGTGTCCCATGCTGGACCCAGGCCACCCCCACAACATTCCCATCCAGCCCCAGAGTGGAGAGGTGGCTCAAGGTGACTTGTGCAGGGAAGTGACAAGTGAAGCCAAAAGAGGCCTTGGCAGGCACTTGTCCTGCAGGACTCAGTCCATCCCGGCCAGCACCTCTCTGCGTGCGCTGCCTGAGCCAGCCATGCCAGCAGCCACTGCAAGCTTGTCAGAAATGCAGACTGCTGGGCCCCACCCCCAGACCCAGGGCATCAAAGGCTGGGTGGGGAGCCCAGTGCCGTGCTGTAACAGGCCCTCCCAGCTGCCTGGAAGCCATGGCCCAGGGCAGGGCTGTCTCCTGAGGCCAGGGAAGCACAGACGGCACCGGGCACGTGGGCAGTGTGGAAAGCAGGGAGGCCAAGTGGGAGGCTGGCGCAGTGGCAGGTGTGGCCTCGGAGGCACAGGTAAGAGGTAGCAGCTGCCTGGCCAGACAGTGGCAGGAGTTCCTGTGAAAGTGGGCAGACACCTGCTGAGAAGGTGGAGGTGGCAGGTGTGTGGGTGGTGATGGGCCCTCTGCTGCGATACAGCCCTCCCCCCGCCCCCCGCAACAGCTTGAGGTGGAGATGCCAGGGCTCCCAGTACCCAGGGGCAAGGTGGCTGTTGTCCCTGAAGCATCATTTCACCTCTGTGAACCAGGTGGGAGGTGCTGGCCTGGGGTACCTGCAGGAGCCCTCCATGGCTTACAGCCCTCAGGTGCGGCACCCTTGGGGACACACTCACCTCTGTCCCTGGCTCCAAGCTGCCTCATCAGAGCTGGTGTTTGTTGGGCATCACCAAGCCCTTGGTGTGGACAGGGCCATGCCATGTGCTCCAGGGAGCAGGGGCGGGGGAAGGGGTCTCCACCGCACTGCTTATCCGTCAACATACACCCTCAAAATGTCTTGCAGTGACCTGCGGGAGATGGAGGAGGCCGACTGCAGCTAGGCCTGGCACAGGGCTACTGTGCGCAGCTGGGGGTGTAGGCAAGGTGACAGCTGAGGGCAGGGCTGGCAGGAGGCGGCTGCCAGAGGCACTGGACAGGAAGCCACAGCCAGGGTAGGCAGGGGCATCCTGGCAGGTCCAAGGGAGTCTCTCACTGCTGTGTGCCAAGGTCCTCCCGGGGATGCCTCACAGTTGGGAGTGGGAGCTGCCCACAAGATGCCAGCCAGCTGCAGCGGCTAGAGTCCCCCTGCCCATTTGGATGCCAGCTCGACTGGGAGAGCTGGGGCAAGAGGCTGCCTCATCCCTGTGGTGCCTCCTGGCTGAGGGGGACACTGGCGCCCAGTGCATCTTGGGTGTGGCCTGGGCCCTGTCCTCTGTTCCTTGGCAACCTGTGAACGGCCACTCCTTCTCTCCCTTGAGCGTGGGGTTGGAGGAGGAGCAGGAATGCTGCTCTGGGCAGCCGCACGTCCACATGCACGGAGGGCCCGGGAGCTCTGGGCTAGTCACACACAGGAACTTGCATGGACAGAGTGCAGGTCAGACTCCACATGCCCTTACTGACCAAGATCCGTCCTTTCTGTATCTGAGCTTGACCGGCCTGACTGTCCAGCCCAGCAGGAGTATCAGGCTGCCAGCTTCCATCACCCCCCCCCACCCCCAGACACACACCTCAGCCCCAGAAGAAGGACCTCTTCTAACCCAGAGCTGTCCCTGTCCCAGGTCCAGGGGGACCTCCCGTTAGTGCCAGTTCCCTCAGAACATTCCTGTTCCTAAACTGGAGAACAACAGATTTAATTAACTCCCAGTGACTGGCAGCATTGCGTTTCTCTCCCGGGCTGCGTCGCCATGGCAGCCTCATGTCAGGGTTGTAGAGGGGGCGGGCAGAGCTATTGTTCCTGCCATTGTCTGTTCTGGAATGCGGGCCTGGCATGGGCGCCGAGGGGCACATGGCTAAAGGCAGCCCTGGAGTCAGACGGCAGGCATCAGGAGAGGAGGCAGCTGGCGGGTGGCCTTGGCGGTCCCCCAGCCTGGGGCTCGGCCCACTGCAGGCTGTGCTGTGCTGTGCGGCGGCCAGGGCCCTGGCGATGGGTCTGTGGTCAGGCATGGCTTCGTCCCCGTGCCTTCTCGGGAGAACAAGAAGCCCAGTAACCCCCCAAGGGTAGGCTTTAAAGCCGCTGGGCGCACAAGGAAAACATTCAAGGCGGGGTATTTGCTCTGAGGGGCTGGGAAGCAGCAGCCTCGCCCGTTCCTTGCACATCCTTCTCAGGATGGGGGTGGGGGGAGTGGTCCTGGCCCGCTGTGGAGACTGAGATGGGGCAGGGGCTGCCGTCTGAGCTGAGTGCACGGGGCCAGGTGGTGGAAATGTAAGCTCCCCGGCAGAGGGGAAGGAAACTAGGGGATGCGGGTGATGGCCTGCAGAGCTGAGCGGGGCTGTGCGTGGGGAGCAGGCGGGGAACGCCGAGTGGGAGCCGGGATCCAGCAAGCCGAGGCGCTTGCTTGGAGGAAAGGAAGAGGGAGCGGCCCACGCCCGGCACAGCGTCAGGAGCAGACGAAGGCAGGGCTCGCGCGGCACGCAGCAGAAGGCGGCGCCGCCCGCCCGGCCTGCCCGCACCCGCAGTGCCTGCGGCAGCACGGCACGGGGCAACGTGTTGCAAGCTCTGAGCTGCCCCCGGCCCCGGGCACCGACACGGCCAAGGCTGGGCGCCCGGCGGGCTGTTGGTGGGGCCGCGGCGCACTTCCTGCCCTCGCAGCGGACTCCTCTGCAGTGCCAGGGAGCCCCGAGGTCCGCCGAGTCCACCGCGCGGGCCGGGGCTTTGCGGGCGGCGCAGCGCGTGCGGTGCAAGGGCGGCCTTGGCGCGCCCTCTGCCGGCCCGCCGCGGGTCTCGCCACCTCCCCGGCACTCGCCTCGGCAACCCGGGCTTCGCCACCCAGGCCCCCGCGACTCCAGATCGCGGGAAACCCTACCGGGGGAAACCTCGGCGTGACGTCATCCGCCTCGGCGACGTCACCGGCCCCCGAGGGAGTCGCGGGGGTTTCCACCGAGGAGGACTTCCCCGGGACCGCGCTCGTTGCGGGGCGAGGGCCTCGGCGCGCGCCTTCACCCTGCGCCCGGTGTCTTCCCCCGCAGGTCCCGCGTGGCCGCGGGTGAGGCACGCCCGCGCGCGCCCGCCGGCGCCATGGGAAGGAGCGGGTGCCGCCGCAGCTGCCCCCCGCCGGCGCGAGCACGACTGGAGCCCCGCCGCGGGCAGCCCCCGGCCGCGGGTCGGCGAGTGAAGCTGGCGGCAGCCGGGAGCGCGGCAGCCGGGAGCGTGGCGCGGGCTCGGGGCCACGCCGAGGAGCCCCGTGTCCATTGAAGCAGCCGAGGACCACCGCCCGCGCCGCCGCCATGGTGATGTCCCAGGGCACCTACACGTTCCTCACGTGCTTCGCCGGCTTCTGGCTCATCTGGGGTCTCATCGTCTTGCTCTGCTGCTTCTGTAGCTTCCTGCGCCGCCGCCTCAAACGGCGCCAGGAGGAGCGACTGCGGGAGCAGAACCTGCGCGCCCTGGAGCTGGAGCCGCTCGAGCTGGAGGGCAGCCTGGCCGGGAGCCCCCCGGGCCTGGCGCCGCCGCCACCGCCACCGCACCGCGGCCGTCTGGAGGTGCCGGCGCACGCCCACCAGCACGTGCACGTGCACCCGCTGCTGCACCACGGCCCGGGGCAGCCGCACGCGCACTCGCACGCGCACCCGCACCACCACGCGCTTCCCCACCCGCCGCCGCCGCACCTCTCGGTGCCGCCGCGGCCCTGGAGCTACCCGCGCCAAGGTAAGGCTGGGAAGCGCCCGGCGCTCCCTGGGCTGGGGAAGGCTGACTGCTCCAGGGGCTCCGGTGCAGGAGGGAAGCGGGCTGGGGCCGGCGGGCGGGGACCCGGGGAACCTCACAGCCTCCCCTCCCGCCACAGCGGAGTCGGACATGTCCAAACCCCCGTGCTACGAGGAGGCGGTGCTGATGGCGGAGCCGCCGCCGCCCTACAGCGAGGTGCTCACGGACACGCGCGGCCTGTACCGCAAGATCGTCACGCCCTTCCTGAGCCGCCGCGACAGCGCCGAGAAGCAGGAGCAGCCGCCGCCCAGCTACAAGCCGCTCTTCCTGGACCGGGGCTGCACGTCGGCGCTGCACCTGCCCAGCGCGCCGCGGCCAGCGCCGCCCTGCCCTGCCCTGTGTCTGCAGGCCGACCGTGGCCGCCGGGTCTTCCCCAGCTGGACCGACTCGGAGCTGAGCAGCCGCGAGCCCCTGGAGCACGGAGCTTGGCGCCTGCCGGTCTCCATCCCCTTGTTCGGGAGGACTACAGCCGTATAGAGGGGCGCGCGGCGTCCCGGGCCCCGCCTCCTCCGCGGCGGACTCGTGGCCTGACTGCGGGGCTTTTTAAACGCTTCCCTCGGACTGCGGGGAGGGGTGGGGGAGGGCGGGATTTCTTACCCCGTTTGTTACATTTTGAGGATAATAAAGGTGTGTGACCTGGTTTGGTACAGGCGGAGGGGGCAGCCGCTGCTTGAGCCCAAGGTTCTCCTGGGCAAGCCTGCTTGGGGGCCTTAGGGTGGAGCCTGAACGCGCGTTTGTTTCCATTGGGAGCTAGCCCCGTAGCCTGGGAGAAGCAGAGGCTGTGCCCCGGGTTTGGCAAACCCCACTAGGTCACCCCCTGGCAGCAGAGGCGCGGCGCACGCTCTGCAGATTTGGGAAGCGGATAGGGTTGGTGTAGGGGCCGGCCGCCCACGCTCCATCAGCCCCCTGGAGGAGCAGCAGACCCAAAGGGATCTGGATTTCTTTATTAACAGACATGAGCACGACCCGTTACAGAAGTTTGTGCTTTCAAAAAAAAAAAAAAAATGTGAAAAAGGAACCCAAGCTAAAGAGGAGCGGGTTTGGGAAGGAGCCTCCCAGAGCCCTGGGCCCCGTGCATAGCCCTAGCCCGAATCGCGCCTAGGGCCTCCAGCCTGGGACCTGCCCGGCGGGAGAGGGCGGGGGAGGCCAAGGGGCCCCGGCTGGACCTGCTCCTACCTCTGGGCCGGGGGCGGGGGGCGGGAGGGGACAGGGTCCCAGGGGGCCAGAGCCCACGAGCCTTTTATTGCCATGTTTTAAAATCCGTGCAAAATATCTGAAGCCCTGGACAGAGAATACAAAGTGATATTTTTCCAAGAAACAGAAAACTAGGAAAAAGGTGGGAGGGGCACGTTTTCCCCACTACAGCTCCCTCCCTCCCTCCCCACCCCCACCCCCGCCACGCCGGGGGGGCCCCAAGCAGTGGTGAGGCTGCCCCCTTACCCACCCTCCCCGGGCCAGCTGAGCAGGGAGGACTATGAGCTACAAACTGGACCCAGCAGGGAAGAGGTGGGGTGCGCCACAGCGTCTCAACTACCAATCGGAGGAAAACCAATCAACTGTACAAGTCCTATCAACTTTAAAAAAAGAAAGAAAAGCTGTAAAAGCCAGGCCCTGTGGGTAGGGCAGCGGCGGAGGCGGCAGCGGCAAAGGCCGGACTCCGGAGTTGGGTGCCAGGCGGAGCTGCTGCGAAGGCAGGCACTGCACTGCTTGCGGGCCATCTGGCAGGGCGAAGGCCGGAGCGCAGGTGCACGGCCTCGGCGAGGGCAGCCTGGGGGCAGGAGCCCGGGCTAGTCACCGCCCTCGAAGCCGCCCTCCTCCTCCTCGGGGACCGGGTCAGCATCCCAGCAGGTGATGTCGATTTCTGCGGAATTGGGAGAGAAAAGGAGCTGGGTAAATAAGTGATCAGGGCTGTGATGGGCGGGGAGGGGTGTCGGCCGCCCGGCACCCACCCGCCGCCCGGCACCCACCCGCCGCCCGGCACCCACCCGCCGCCCGGCACCCACCCGCCGCCCGGCACCCACCCGCCGCCCGGCACCCACCCGCCGCCCGGCACCCACCCGCCGCCCGGCACCCACCTGGGGGCTTGCTGTAGAACACCGGAGGCAGAGCCTTTGCACACAGCTCTTCTGATTGGGCAAATTCCTCCTCCTGGGATTGGCTGAAGTAGCCCTCACTGGCCTGCAGGGGGAAAACGCAGGTCGCTGGGCCCCACCCCGCACGACTAGGGCTGCCCTATCAGGGCTGAGCCCGACGCTCCGTGGTTGCCAAGGAAACAGAGATGCCTGCCTGGGGACCTAGGGCGAGCTGGCCCAGGGCGGGAGAAGTGGAGTGGTGCTCCCCTAACAATATGGGTCAGCAAGGGGGTTACTGCTACAAGCCTGAGGGATGCAGGCACCCTGCTGGCCGCCCCCACCTCCCACCCAGCAGCCTCTGCCCCACCTGAGTTCCCTCCTTTTGGGTGGTCTCCCCGTTGGTCAATAGATGGGCTTCCGGTTCTGCCTCTGGCTCTGGCTCCTCTGGCGCCGAGGGCAGAGCTGGGGTTTGGGGGGCAGCCAGGGGCTCCCCTTCCACTTCCTCCTCTGGGTCACAGAAGGTGGTTGGAGGCTCAGGTAGCAGCGCATCGAAACCCAGGAGGTTGGCACAGGCATCCCCCGCAGGTGGGGGTGGCTCCTGAGCCACCTCGTTCAGCAGGGGCACCTCTGCCGGAGTGCCCTCAGCACCGGATGGGGGCGTGGGGGCTCTGGGCTCAGCCGGGAGCGCTGAGGTCCCTTCCCCATTGCCAGACCACAGGTCAACGAGGCCGGCAGTGGCAAGGGCTACGTCGTTGGTGATGGCGGCGTCCGCGGCGGCAGCATCACTTTCCATAGCACCAGCCTCAGCCACCCAGGCAACCTCTGCGGTGCTCTCCAGGGCGGCGGGCTCCCCAGGGGCCTGCTCGGGAGCCGTCATCAGCACCAAGTCCTCCGTGGGCCCGCCTTGCCCTTGCACAGGCTCCTGGGCCTCGGGGGGCTCCACCACGGGGCTGGCCGGAGCTTGGGGGGCTGGGGCGGTTTGGGCCTCCTTGCTGGTCTCTTCGCTGTCTGTGCTGCGGCTGGGTTCCTGGGTGTCTGTCCCAGCACAGAGGCAGTCAGTCCCCCACTTCCCACGGAAAAGCAAGCAGGTCCCAGCCCACCCACTCATCCCCACCACCGCCACCTGCGCCAGAGAGGAAGCCGGGACCTGTCAGACAATGATGCCTGCAACTTAGACGGCACACAAGGCACTCCCAGCACCCACAGCACCCACTATGCCCGATGCCTACTTTCAGAGAGGATACCCTAAGCTTTAGGGAAGATGACTCCCTGCTCCAGTCTTGGAACCCTGAGCAGCCCACCCACCTGGCTTCCACACTACCACCACCCCTTGCCCCCTTGCAAGAGGGTCCCTCCCTTACCTGGGGCCAGGGGAGGTGGCCGTGGCAGTGGTGGAGGCTGTGAGGACGTGACCTGATCCAGGGTCCTCTCGATTTGCTCGGTCACAGGGGTGGAGGCCACACTGGAGTCGGACGGGCTCCGGGTAGGGATGGGGGTGGGCGCCATCCTCCGGTGGCTGTCCAGGTGACTGCCTGTGGAGCGAAGCCCCAGGTGGGCGTCAGCAGGCACGGGGCACTGGGCAGCACCGGAACTGGCCACCTTGCATCCTGACCAGAGCTTCCTCTGGAGCCAGGGTCAGGGGCTGGGAGCTCTCTCCGGGGCCCCCAGGGGCCAGAATACACCTCCAGAGCCCGTCAGCCAGGCTCCCGTGAGGCCAGCGAGCACCCCCGCCAGGGCCAGGGGCCCAAGGTGAGCAGTTGTCACGTTGGTGGTGGCCAACAGCAGGCTGGGACAGCGAGGGGGAAGTGGGGCCCTCCTTACCCCCCCGCCGAAGCCTGGGGCTGCTACCTACATGGGAGGGAGGAAGAGAGGTTTGGGGTGCGGTGACATGTGATATAGGGAAAGGGAGTCCGTGGAGGGGAAGAGGAGGAAGAGGAGGAGGAGGAAGGCCCACTGTCCGACGCCTTTATGAAAGGGCAGTGCGGACGACCTGCCGAGAGAGAGAGAGACAGACAGAGAGAGAAAGACAGAGGACAAGAGCGGGTCAGTCTCCCCTACCCCCGCCTGAGGCCTCACCCACCCAGGGCTGGCCCTGGAGGCCCATGCTGCCTTTAGCCAGGGCACGCACCCGGTCACCAGCCACTGCCACCTCCCCCCAGCAGCAGACACGCAGCAAGGAGCCGGCCTCTGAGCGGGAGCAGCACCGGGCGCAGCGAGGGCAGACACACGCAGAGGGCACACGGAAGCCAGCAGGGTGGGACGGGGCAGAAGCGGCACACAGAAGCCCACCACAGCAGCCTGGGTGGGGACAGCTGTACATGCACGCGAGGCCGTGCAGGTCAGCCTGCCCCCTGCAGCCAAGGGGGGGTGCCAGAGCCCCCAGCCCTGGTGCAGCTCGGCATCGACCCCGCCCATGGCCCTTCCTGGGGTCCTGCCACCTGGGAGGCAGAGGGTGAAAGGGTCTTCCCTTGTCCAAGGCTTCTCTTCCAACACAGAGTGTCAAAGGGGTTGGGGCCAGCGCCCCGGGGGGCTCGGGGGTGGTGGGGGTGGGGTCCAGGGCTACCTGGCCGGTGGTTGAAGGGCGAGGGAATGTCACAGCTGCCCGCCGAGGCTGAAGCAACCCGTTCCTGCTGCTTGAAGAACTCCCGTGGGTTGTCAGGCCGCTGGGCAATAATGGCTGCCGCCTCCTGGAGGACACAGGGCAGGGTCAGGGCCTGGCCGGGCACAGCAGGCTGGGCGGGGGGAGTCCCTGCCCACCTCACCTGCCCTGCTTCCCTAGCTCTTACCTCCACCTCAGATTCCGACTTCTTCATCTGAGTTTCTTCCTCTTCATCTCGCTGGTCACCCTGGAAACCAAAGGGGGCTGAGTCCTGGCCATCCACTCCCACAGGGTCGGGGGGGGGGGCTGGACCTAACACTGTCACATCCATGTCCTGAGATGTCATCATGTCACCCTCAGACCTAGTCAGAACCCGGGCAGCCGGCTCACCCACTTACTGGCCTACCCCATAGCTGACCAGCACCACCCTTGCTGTACAGCTACCTCTTCTCGGACCACCCACGGTGCCCCTGGCTCACCATGCTCCCTCTGGCCCCACTAGTGCCCTGCCTCAGCTTCAACTCCTTTAGGGGTCTCCCAGGAGCCACAGTGGGTCCAGGCTGGGCACAGCCCCAAGCTGGCCATCTTCACAGGCATGAATTGTCACCACTCACAAAAGCAGGGAGTTGGGAAGTTTGGGCAGCATTGGCCCACATACCCCGGAGAGGGTTCTGCCTCCCTTGGTCAGTCCTGCACTGGGCGTGTGCTGTGGGTCCAGCACAGACCCTGTTCCCACCAGCTTCCCCTGCCCACCTCATTGCAGGGTTTCCAGATTGCACAGGTGGACGGGTCCCTGTTCCTGCCTGACTGGCCCGTCACCTCTGCCCCGTCACCACCCCTCACCCCCCAGCTGCCACGCCCACATGCCAATCACAGAGTCCTCAGTACAATGTGGTCACAGTTCCCAGAAAATGCGACTCACTTTTTGCCTCCCACCTTGGCATAGGTCAACTCATCTCCCCCAGATGCCTTGCCCTCAACCCAGGCCCTGGACCACTGAGGTTACCTCCTTCTCAGGACCCTCCAGGGCGTTTCTGGCAGCCCCCCACTCCCATGCCGATTACACTGCACCCCAAGATCTTGTTTCTGGGCTCATTTCCCACACCCTACGAAACCACAGCAGAGGGGGGCTTGGGTCTGTGTGAGTGACCAGCACAGGTGGCCACCCAAATTCTCTGACTCAGTGTCCCCAGCAACAGGCCCTGGGGGCTGCAGGCAAGGTGCCAGAGGCACAGGTGGCTTTGTACCTGAACACAAGAACTTGGGGGCCCGGCGGCGTGGCCTAGCGGCTAAAGTCCTCACTTTGAATGCACCGGGGATCCCATATGGGCGCCGGTTCTAATCCCGCCAGCCCCACTTCCCATCCATCTCCCTGCTAGTGGCCTGGGAAAGCAGTCAAGAACGGCATAAAGTCTTGGGACCCTGCACCCGCGTGGGAAACCCGGAAAGAGGTTCCTGGTTCCCAGCTTTGGATCGGCACAGCACCGGCTGTTGTGGCCACTTAGGGAGTGAATCATCGGATGGAAGATCTTCCTCTGTCTCTCCTCCTCTCTGTATATCTGACTTTGCAATTAAAATTAAATACATCTTAAAAAAAAAAAAACACAAGAACTTGGGACCTTCAACACCGCTGTTGGGGGGCACCAGGACTAAGGTCCCTTGTGAGAGGGCTCCATGCCAACCCTCGTGTGTCTCAGAATAAACTCCCACCTTCTCCCAGCTCCTCAGCCTTCCTGGACCCATCAGGCCAATGCACAGAGCCCCCGCCAGCCTTTGCCAGCATCTTCCCAGGTTCCTCAGTTCCATGCAGAAAAAGGCCACCGACAGCCACGAGCCAGCACTGTGGGCAGGGGGGAGTGACCCTAACCACTGGAGTCAAGTGCGTGTGTGTTTCAGCAGTTTCATGTGTATGAGAGTTCCCTATAGCGGCCCAGGCAAAAAGGGAACCTGGATCAGAAATACATGTTTATTCACAGGAGACGTGTGGCAGAACACCCCACAAAACCCAGAGGAAGTACTGCGCAGCGCAAACTCCCCAGCGCCTCAGGGAGTCACAGGCCACCTCCCCGACCTGGCCCATAAGCCTCGCGAGAAGGCACAGACAGGGATAAAGCCGGCTGGGTCCCTTCAGACCCGCGGAGATGGTGATGGCAAGTGAGGATGGGCACCTGTCAGGCTGCCATCTCCTTCTCTAATGATGTGCAAGGATGCACGCATGCGAATGCCATGCATCGTGAGTGTGTGTGTGAATACACACGTTGGTGCCTGCATGTGAACGCCATGTATGCCCGGGTGCCTGTATGTTAGCGTGTCTGTGTGAATGTGCATGTATAATGGGTCACTGTGTGAACGCAGATATATATTGGTGAGCTCATGACATTCACATGTGTGAGTATACATACATGTACATTTGGTAATCTCTATGAAAATAGGCTCTTTCAAAAAAGTTTGCTAGCTCCGACTGGGGAAACAGAATGTAGCCTACCTCCCCAACAGGGAGAAAGGCAACCGAGAGATACAACGCAGATGGACGCTACGTGACAATGTCCAGATCCCAAAGGGTAAATGCTGACACAAAGAATGAGGGGCAGGGGAGCTGTGTGGTGTGAACTTCCTGGAGATGGAGGGTAGAGGCGCCCACCCACCTGTGGGAATGACCCAAGCACCACTGGACTATGAAGGGACTACCCATTTGGCTCACCACCCTGGCACCTGACAGCTTCTTGCTGAATGAATGAGGGACCCACCACCCCCACCCCTGCCAGGGGCCGAGGTGGCTCCAGGAACCTCCCACGGCCACTCGGCACTGCTGCCTCCTCCCTTCCTACTGGGGGTCACGGGAGTCCCTGGCACCTGCCCCTCATCAGGCCAGGCCCTGTCCCTCCTGCTGCTCTGGAGCTGCACCACGCTCTGTCCTGACTCCTGTCATCCTACACTCGATTCACAGCATGACAGGACCGCGACTGAATCCCCCGGGAGCCGCAGGCCCTTGCTGCTGAGTGCCCGTTCGGATCACGGACTGGGACACGGGCACTTCACTCTGAAGGAGATGCTGCACCCCTGAGGAGATGCCAGCCCACACGCCCAGGGCTCCATAGCAACCCCAGGCAGGTACCCTCCCAGAGCAGGAACCAGAGGAAGCACCCTCTCCCTGGAGCCCCCAGAGAGCGAGGCTCTGCTTCAAGTTTCTTCCCTAAGAAGTCTTTGTCCATTGCCAGAGGCCCAACCCCCTCCACGGCCGTGTCCCCAGGACACCGGCCCTATCCCAAGGTGCAGGAACAAGAGGGCCACCTTCGCCCCCCACAACCAGGAGGCCCAGAGCAGGACTTACAAAGATGGACTGCTCCTTCAACCGCCTCTTGGCCTCTTCTGCTTCAAGCGTCTGCTGCTTCCTCCTGGAACAAGCCGGCGAGTGCTGGGGTCATGGGGAGGGGGGTTCTCTGCACAGAGCCGGGGAGCCAGGGAGCCCCGGGGAGCCAGGGAGCCCCCGGGGCAGGGAGCCCCCGGGGCAGGGCCCACCTGTGCTCCTCGATCTGCTGCTCCCGCTCCCGGTAGCGCCGCTCCCGTTCCTCCTGCTCCTGCCGCTCCTGTTCCATCCGCTCCTGCTCGAACCGGAGTCGCTCGTCCAGGGCCTTCTTGCGCTCCTCCTCCTTCCGCAGCTCTTCCTCCTTCTGTGATGGCCCCAGGCCCAACAAAGGCAGGCCCTCAGCCTGGGTGCCCAGCCCTGCCCCTCCACCCCACCAGGGTCCCATCAGGCTTGCCGGGGATGGGGTCTCACACCTTGGCCTGCTCCCAGAACTGTTCTCGGTTGATTCGCTTCATTTCCACCGCTGCGTCCGTCTTCTGGTAGGTGGTGCCCTGCAGGGCCGGAGCAATAGGCGTGGCCCCAGGAGCCTCTTGCACACACACAGAGGGGGCCGGGAGGGGGGGATCGGGAGGGTGGGTGGGGGAACAGCAGGGACACTGACCACAGGCTCGGCATTCTCATCCTCCCGCAGCCGCAGTCGGTGCAGCACGGGGCTGGAGAGCCGGGCCAGCCCGTTGGAGAGCCGCTGCCCGATGGCGCCTGCATCAATGTCTTCCACGCTGCTGGCATTCACAATGACGTCGACGCCCTTGGGCAGGCAGAACGCAGGGCTCATGCTCCCTCCCCCGTCCCAGGCCCAGCACGCAGCCCCAGCCCCACCACTCACCTGGAAGAACTCGGCCACCTTGGCCACATGGCTGGCACAGGCACACTTGCGAGCGTCAGGCACATCTTCGCCAACCTGCCCAGCACCCAGAGAAGCAGAGGTCAGGAGGGGATGGGGAAGGCAGCAACAGCCCTGACCCCCTCGGGCCTGCTGGGCTTGCTCCCCAGCATCTGCAGGTGGCACAGGGCATGTGACAGGGCCCCCACCCCACCCCCTGGGGCTGCATACCCAGCTGATGTGACAGGGCCCCCACCCCGCCCCCTGGGGCTGCATACCCAGTTGATGAGCACGTATTTTGGCAGGGCAGCCGGTGAATCCTTGACGCTGCAGAAGCCATACATCACCTTCTGGTTTTCAAAGTGGCCCGAGAGCTCCTGCAAGCCCCCTTCTGGGGGAATCCGGAAGGAGTCAGGCCCCTTGCCCAGCCAAGGGCCTGGGGTACCAAGCACAGCCTATGCTGGGTCAGGCAGGCACCACAGGGGCATCCTGAGCCGCTATACACTGGAGGTCCCCCCAGGGTTTCGGGCAGGGTGAGGGCTGCTGACACACTCCAGCTTGGCCTTCGAGTCCTCCACGCCCTGGTCTGGACCAGGCTGAATGGAGTGTTCTTCACACTTCCTCCCACAACATCTCACACAGCTCATGTGACCAGGTGTCAGCACCCGGTGAAGGAACATGAGGCTCTTCTTAAATACAGCCTTCCGGGGGTGATAACGTGTGGCTGACCCGGGCTGCCCCTCTAAGCTGTGTTACTTTGGGCAAGTTAACACTGCTCTCTGGGGCTTAGCCTTCTCGAACAGGAAGCAAGCGCCCCACTCCCCGGCCCCTTGCCTGCCCGGGCTAGAGCTTGTGGTGATGACCAGGACAAAGACGAGGGTGGGTCTGCTTGGTGGTGCTGCGGGCGGGAGGGTGGCCAGGAGCCAGGAGGTGGGGAGGAAAACAGCAGAGGAGGGGGCGGAGAGAAGGCAGAGGACCGGCTGGAATTCTTACCTCCTGATGCAGCCAACTTGAGGTCATCTGAGCCATCCTCATATGTGTACAGAGCCCTGGGGAGAGGGAGGGGAGGCTCCTGCAACGGTCAGGGCTCAGGCCGCCAGTTCTGGGTGGGGATAGCTCCGGGGAGGGAGAGGGACATAGAGGGGATGGCGCAGAGGGGAGGTGCCACCAGTCATCAAGACAACAGGGCCAGAGGGGTGCATTCTGGGAACCTGGTGGAGGCCCGGGTCAGGTGCAGTGCAAGGAAGCAGGGGAAAAAATCTCTGCCTACTTGAGCTCAGCGCGTCCAGCCTCGGTCCTGGCAGCCCACAACCCGGCAGAGCGGTGTGCAAGGGAAGCTCCAAGGCAACGGTTCCTTGGTTACCGTTTCCTGGCTACCACAATCCTCATCTCTCATTGGCCGGTGCCAGGAAGCTACCTGGCGCGTGCCTTGGTACCCGAGGTCCCTCCCCTCTTGGGGAAGGAGGGGGAAGAGAGAAAGAACCTAGCGATGGCACAGCTCTGGGCATTCCCCAGTATCCATGGCAACCCAGCAATTGGCACTCAGCACTGCATTTTCCTCTCACACAAAGGACCCCAGGGACCCGCCCTCAGTCTCCATCCCCGCCTCCCTGTAACGGGGATGAGGTCACTGCCCAGGCGCTGGCCTCTGGGTGGCCTCACTCTCCTGGCCTTCCAGCCCCTAGGCCGCCTCCGCCCTAGTGGGGGGCCTCCTGGGACTACAAGCTTCCGGCCAGAAAGCTGACCCAGCAGCCTTGCCTCTCTGCCTCCTCCCCGGCTGTCAGAGACAGCAGCACAGCTTCCATCTCACAGAAGGCAATGCAGAGACAGGCGCCTCCTCCCCTCAGGGAGGTACCAAGTTTGAGGACCCGCTGGGAAGACAGGCCTGGGCAAAGGAAATAGGGCCGAGTCCTGCCCAGGCAGATGGCTGGAAGATGCAAAGAGGAGAGGACTGGGGGGACAGCAGCACAGGGTTCAGGGAGAAGGGGGAAGAAGAAGGGAGTGGGCAACGAAGAAAACAAGAGAAAGGAGAAAAGGGATGAAGAGGGAGGAACAAGGGGAGAGAGTGAGGCAGAGGTAGGAGGGAGGCATGGCCCCAACCCCACAGGTCCACAGCGCCAGGCCAGGGCCCCCACCCTACCCCTTCCCGGAGTTCTCCCCCTCTATACCCCCAGAGAACAGCACAGGTGGGCCCAGGGCTGGGACCTCCTGGTCCAACTGTTGCCCCAGCCCTGGGGCCCAAGGCAGCTGTGTCCGGGCACAGCTGCTCCGCCACCTGTCCGGCTGCCCTAGCCCTTGCCGGGAACAAAGGGTTCTCACAGAAGCAGGGACTGCCCCTCCTGTTCACAGCTGAGAAACTGAGGCACAGCGCAGGGTTTCTGTCTCACACATACCGGGGACCCTGGAACACTGGTCTCAGCTAGCGGAAGGCTCTCGGAGGCCCTCTCACTCGCCACCCCTGCCTGCTGGGGTTGTGGCCCTCCTCCAGCGGAACGCAGCACTACCTCAGCCCCAGCCTGCCTTCCCGTGTGTACCCCGCACAACCCTGCCACCCACCCCCTGCGTGGCACCCACACTCAGCCCGGCTTGTTCTGGAACTGTCCGCCTGGAGCCCCTGTGTGTGTGTGTTTCTCTCCGGCAGGCAGCCAGCCGCACCCTCACCCCCCAGGACCCTGGGGCCAGGTCCCTGGCAGCCTCCCTGAGGGCACCCACCAATCACGAGCAGAGGCAAGCCGAGGCACCTGTGCCCACCCCAATCTACTGCCTCTCATGTTCTGAGACATGGTGAATCCGCAGGGCAAGGCTGGGAGCAGGAACCCCCAGTCACAGTCCCCACAGGATGAGCTTGGGGACCCCTCCTGAGATATTGCCACACCTGCAGAAACTCCGGAGGCCAAAGGAACTGGATGAGTGTGAGGTGGGAACTGGCATGTGGCAGCTCCAGGGAGACCCTGGGAAGGGGAGTCAGCTGGAGCTGGGGGGCCCTGGGTAACGTCACACTCCAGACGCTTCAGCTGGAAAGACCCCAGGATCCCCGACACGGCTGAGCCCACAGGTCCTCTTCTTCTTTCTGAGGACCACAGTGGAGCAGGAACTTGTAAGGGACACACACTGTGAGTCACTTCACAACAAGGGTGACATGGGCCACTTCTGCTCTACCAGCTCACTTCCCAGTCCCAAGTTCCCAGGGCCAGGGGCTGCCCACCTCAGAGGCCCTGCCAGCCAGCCGGGACAGGGGGGCAAGCCTCCCCCACCCCAGCCACTGCCCCCATCCAAAAGCAGAGGGCAGGAGGCCAAGTCCCCTGTGCCCAAGATGCCCTTCCACTGGATAAGGGCTAGGTGTGCCCTGAGTGCCCCAGGCTTGGTACCTGGGGGCCGTGGCCACCCCTTCTATGCTACCCACACCCTTGGGAGCAAATGCTAAGGGGGCCCTGGGGACAGCGCATATATGTGCACGTGCCAGGGTACATGTATGCATCTGCGAGTGTGTCCCATACACAACACAGATGGTGGGGCTGACGCACGCCCGAGATGAATAACTCACATTGGCCACATGGAAGTTTCTGGGAGGTGGGGGCCCAGGCCTGTGCTAGCTAGAAAGTGGGGCAGCAGCAGCGGTGTGTGTGTCCCGCGAATCCAGCTGAGGGGTTCCAGGAAAAAGGCCAGGTGAAAGTTAATCCGCACCCCCAGAGCCGAGGGCGGGGATGCCGCCGAACTGGCCTACGCCTCTCCCAGGGCCAGTTCATCCCCTGGCCACTCCGGCCACTTGCCCAGAACTGCTCCCATGATCTCAGCACCCGGGGGCGGGGCAGAGCCGGGCCGGACCAGCAGTGGGCCCCCTGCCTGCTTTGCTCATGCTGGCCCCTCCTGTGATCGACCCGCAGGACACCAGGGCTTCCTCCCTCCCCGCGTCCGGCCCTCCAGGCCTGGCTGCTGGCCAGTGCTGCAGTACCATACCATGGACGCCTGGTCATCTTGTGCCCTTTGCCAGCCCTGGGTCAGCATCCCTCCCTACCTTGCCGGCCTGGGACAAGCCCAGAGGTGAGGTGCCTCACACCTGCGCTCACACCTGGCCAAGGGCCAAGGGGAAGAGGTCTAGGAGCAGGACATGTCCTGCCTGGGGAGAAGACCACCTTAGGGGAAACCCTGGGTTTGCAGCCACAGAACAGGTGGTCCTTCCCCTCCCCCAGCTCCCGGGGAGACAACAGCTGGGGAGGGGGAGAGGGGCGGCGGCTGCTTCCTCACCAGGGAGCCTGCAGCAGGGGGACGGGGCTGGGGACCCAACGCGTGTCTTCACCCCTTCTTAGGGGGTCCATCACACTTAAGAGACGGAGGCACCCCCTTCGTATCTCCTTCCCCTGCAGCCGCCTAGTCCAGGAGGGGGGGGCTCATCCCCGCCGCCTCCGCCGCGGAAAGGGGCAAAAGCCATGTGGCAGGCATGGAACATCCTTCCGCCACACCCCAAGCCAGGTCGGAGGGTGGGGGGCGGCCGACCCCGAGAAGCCCCCCGGTGGGCGGGGCGCCCGGTCCCCAGCCCGCGGCGCTGCTTTCCCCACCCCCTTGCCTTCCTTTGTGCCGCGGCCGGGCCGGGCCGGGCAAGCAGCGCTGGCGCCGCTCGCTGGGTCCCCGCCCCGTCCCCGCCCGGCCCTCGCCCGCTGGAAGGTGGCGAAGGTGCCCTTGGCCGGCCTCTGCACACCTGCCCCCGGGGCCCCGGGGGGATGGGCTCCTGCAGGGCCCTGCGGCCCTGGCCCCGCATCTGGCCCCCCGAGTCCGCCCAGCCTGCGTCCGGCCAGCGCGCCTCGGCGCGCGCCTGGGGCCGCCCCCGGGTGCCCGGGCCGCCGGTGCCCCGCCTGGCCCCTCCCCGGCGCGCACAAAGGCAGCCCCTCCCCGGCCCGCTGCACCATTTCGGGGTCGCCCCCTCCCTCGGGGCGGCGGGGCCGGAGGAGACAAAGGCAGCGGCGGGCGGCGAAGGCGCAGGGACAAAGGGGCTGGGGCGGGGGCGGTGGGCTCACCAGTCGGCCGCGCTCTCCTCCCGGATCACCTCCTCGTACGCCGCCAGCAGCTCCAAGCGGTGCCCGCTGAAGCTGACGCCGGCCATGCTGCGGGCCGGACGGAGGGCGAGCGCACGGACGCACGGATGGACGGACGGACGGAGGAGGAGGAGGAGGAGGAGGAAGAGGAGGGAGGGGAAGAGGGAGCCGCCGCCGCCGCCGCTGCCTCGGAGCCTCTGCAGCGCTGCGAGCGAGCGAGCCAGCGGCCGGGGGAGGGGAGCCGGCCGGCGGGGGGCGGGGGGCGCTGGCTCCGCCCGGCTCGCTCCCTCCGCGCGCTCGGTCCTAGCGCCGCCGCGGCCCGGCCCAGGGGGAGGCCCGCGCCCCCTTCCCGACCTGCCCCGGGGCGACCCCACGCCCCCCGCCCCGCCCCGGGCCGCCCACCCACTCTGCGCGTGCCCGTCCCAGAACCTAGTCCCGAGCGTCCTCACCACCGGGAGAACCAACTCCACGTAGCCCCAGGGTAAAGCCTGCCCCACCCCTCCCAATTTAGCTCCATCCGACCTCACCCCCCTGTGCCAATTCCTGACCCCAACCCTATTCACACACCAACACCCCGACTCGTCCCCTCCAACGTGCCTGCACCCCACCACACACACACACACACACACACACACACACACACACACACACGGCTCTGTCTCTGCCCCCTGGGTGGGCGTTCCTGGTCCACTCCCATCCCCACGAAGCGCTGAGTACCAAGCCTACATCTTGCTCCATCTCCAGCCCCATTCTCAGCCCTGTTCTCCACCCATCCCTGACAGCACCCCCGGCAGGCCGGCCTGCTCCCAGATCCTAAGCAGATCCCTCCAGCACTGTTCCAGCCAGCATCACTCTAGCACATGTTCCGTACCCATGTCCTCTCAGGCCACCCCAGCTGGTAGTGCCACCGTGCACACCCACAGCTGTGTCTTCCCAGATGGGGCCAAGCTAGGAAATCCCTTGCTTCCCTCCCCAGACTCGCACCTTCTAGGGGAATCCCAGGTGGAGTTCCCCAAGTAGCATCTAACCCCAGACTCCCAGGACAGGGCTCCTCTGGAGACACTGCACAGCCTGCCTGCTGGCACCTTTACAACAGAGAAGTCCCCTGCTGGGAGCGGGGTGGGGGTGTGGGGATTGCGGGAAGTCCTGGAGCCTGAGCATCTCATGTCAGAACCCTCTCACCGCGATGAGCCTCCCCCAAGCCACTTCTTCCCAAGGGAGGCAACATCCCCTAAGCAGCGGCTGGTCCAGGCCAGGGGTGGGGACAGGGCCTCTGAGTTCTGAGTTGGATGGTTGTGCCAGGGGAGAGCAGCGTGGGCCCTTTGCTCAGCGGTTCCCAGCACCCTGGAGTGGGGAGAACCCTTTTAAGACTCTGAGCATCTACTGTGTCCAGGATCCCTGAGCCTGCATGTCCTCCATGTCCCCTCCTACTTTAGACCCATGCCTGCTGGCCAGGAGGGGTGCCCTGGGGACCACTAAGGCAGTGAGTGACACAGGGCGGGGTGGTCAGGGCAGGGGTGAAGAGCAGCAGCAGGCACAGAGTGGGGAGGGAGACTCCGCCCCACCCCACCCTGCAGCAGGGTCCAGGGATGCCTGGGAGGGGTGGGCAGATGGCCGGGCATCTGCTCTCTGGCCTCAGCTGGGGCCTGCTGCCTGCCTGCTACTGGTCCTAGCTCACAGCTCCTCCCACTCCCAAGCCCCCTGCCCCAGCCTCCTGTTCTGGGTTCCACATCTCAAATCCCCCAGCGCCTCCCCAGCTCTCCCTTCCTCAAACCCCTGCTTCTTCAGCAACCACCTACAAACCCTTGCAGCCACACCTACTCTCACCTCTTGCCTTGGATATTTTTAGAGAAACTTTCTATTTCAGAACAGGTTTTAATTTTCACAAAAAATTGCACAGGTGGTACAGGGAGCTGTCAAGTTTCTGGCAGCTGGCTTAGGACCACTCAGGGACGTGAGGGAGGGGTCTCCTGCTCCCAGGCCGTGCAAGCCCCCTCCTCTGGGCCCCTCACTCTGCCTGTTTTCACATCACTTTTTTTTTTTTAAAGATTTATTTATTTACTTTATTGGGAAGGCAGATTTACGGAGAGAAGGAGAGAGTCTGCTGGTTCACTCTCCAAGTGGCTGCAGTGGCCGGAGCTGAGCTCATCCAAAGCCAGGAGCCTGGAGCTTTTTCCAGGTCTCCCACACGGGTGCAGGGTCCCAAGGCTTTAGGCCGTCCTCGACTGCTTTCCCAGGCCACAAGCAGAGAGCTGGAAGGGAATTGGAACAGCTGGGACACTAACTGGCACCCAAAGGGGATCCTGGCGGATGCAAAGAGAGGATTTAGCTATTATGCTGTCGTGCTGAGCCCTCACACTCCCTGCTGTACAAAACCAACTACCCACTGGCTCCACCCTCCCACCTGCCCTGGCATTGGTGCCATCACATGGTCACTGGTAGCCCACCAGAATAGCCCCTCCTGGTTCCCAGTTGCCTTGGCCAGTTTGAGTAAGGGCTGCTTGACATCAACTTGCTCATAGATGCTGTCCCTGATACACATCTGGAAGACAGCTGGTGGGTGCCACCTGGAGGTCCTCACACAGCCGAGGGTCTGCCATTCCCAGCACTGGTCACCCTTCAGGCTGCTGAGATGCCAGGCCGCCCCTTCCCTGGGGCACCGGCACAGAGTTCCCAGCCTGCACACTGTGCAGTGAGGTGGGCATGGTGCATTCCCATCCTTCTGAGCCTCCAACAGCACAGTGGGGCAAGGAGAAGAGAAGAAAGGTCGGGAGCAAAGTTTAAAACTGACCCCCCGGCTCTGTGACTTTGGCAGAAACACTTCCCCCCCTCCCCCGCCCCCGGGTTTCATTCTGAGGACCTGGGACGCAGAGCAATTGCATGGAGGCGTGGGAGTGAAAAACTCCACCCTGATCCAACCCACTTCCTGATCTGGGCTCCCCCACACTCCTAAGAAGGTGTACAGGCTGAGGGCTTGAGAGCACCCACCTTCCAAAGCACCCCCTAATTACAACCGGTGTTACAAATCACCCGGTGTTGCCCTGGGCAGTGCCCTGGGCAGTGGGCCAGCCTCTCTATTCACCACCGCTCCACGCCTGGCAAGCCCTCAGCTGGACCTCGCTGGTCTCAGCACACGTCGCCGTAGTACGCAGTGGGCAGCAGGGCTGGTCATCGTCACCGTTTGGCAGAGAAGCCATGAGGCTCAGAGGGGGACATGACCTGCCTGGAGGCACATAGGCGCGTAGTATACAGTCTGGATGGGAAGTTGCCCTCTTTGCTCCCCTGCCAGCACTGCTATTTCTATACCCAGAGGCCGACTCCAGCCTGGAAAGATATCACAGCAGGGTTCCTGGGCCGGCTATGCAGCAGACCCCACGGTCAGGCCTGTCCCCAGACCCCATCATTGTTACAGAGCTGGACCTGTGGCCCAAGTCGGTCCCATGGCACTGGCACTGGCCCCGGGACTTTTGCTGGAGTTGCCCCCCGGGCTGCTGGAGGCCATCTCTGGGGCCTCTTCTCCCTCCCAGAGAAACAAGCTGGTGCTGAGAAGAGCATAAGAGATGGGGAGCACACCACAGCCTTTGCCGTCCTTGGCCACCTGGCTCCAGCTGTGAGAGGCAGGGCTGGCTTCTGCTGCCTTCCCAGTGCTTTAGCAGGGAGCTAGGTGAGCAGCCAGGACTCGAACTGGCACTCCCGTGTGGGCTGTGGCTGTCACAGGTGCTGCCTTAACCTGCCATGCCAGCACGCTGGGCTCCAAGCAGCACTTCTTGTTTTTGTCTTGGGCAATAGCTCAAGTTAACTATCTAATGCCCTAAGTCCTGAATGAGGAGACCCTCCCCAGTAGCTGTGCATAAGACCCCCAACAGTGCTCCACCCAGACCCCCATTGTCCCCCTCTCCTGCCAGTAGACCCCACTGGGGAAGGGGCCCTCTGCACCCCCAGGCATGGTTTTGGCTTGGCGCATCAGTTCCCTTGCCAGGGTGCCGTGTACCTTCTGTGTGACCCGAGGCCAAGCGGGGCCCAGTGTGGAGGAGGCAGGGGGCAGAATCTTTAGTTCTGGCACCACAGTCCCCAGGCCTTCACCGCCGCTCTCCCTGCTGACTTCCAGCAAGCTCTGGCTGCGTAGAGCTGGGAAATGCTTCCCCTGCCTGCTGCCTCCCCGGTTGCCCACTCTGCCCCCTGCCACGGGCTCTGCCCCCTTGGCTGGGGACCTTGTACTCTGCCAGGGTGCTAATAGGCTCCCCTGCCTAGCATGAGGACATTCATTTGCCAGTCCCTGCAGCTCCCACCGGCACCCAGCTTGGGAACACTGAGTTCTTTGCAGCTCCGTGGCTGATGGAGTAGGCAAGGCACTGGCTGGGTTGGGGTGAGAGCGCTCTGGCCTGTGGTTTTGTTTTTTCTTTCTTCATTTTGATCCATGCATTTGAGAGACAGAGAGGAGAGAGGAGAGGAGACTCTTGGGAGAGATCTGTCTGTAACTCACTCTACAATGCGTGTTAACACTTGGGGCTAAAGACAGGAGCCAGGAATGTCACCAAGGGCCCCCGCATGGGGGACAGGAACCCCGTCCCCGAGCCCTCAGTGCTGCCTCTCAGCACCTGCACTAGCAGGAAGCTGAGAATCAAACCCCCAGCCTCAGGGTAGCATGCAGGCATCTTCTTAAGATTTATTTATTTTTATTGGAAAGGCAGATATACAAAGAAAAGGAGAGTCAGAGGGAAACATCTTCCATCTGCTGATTCACTCCCTAAGCAGCCTTAACTGCCATAGCTGAGCTCATCCAAAGCCTGGAGCTTCTTCTAGGTTTCCCACGTGGGTGCAGGGTCCCAAGGCTTTGGGCCGTCCTCGACTGCTTTCCCAGGTCACAAGCAGGGAGCTGGAAGGGAAGTGGAGCTGCCGGGATTAGAACTAGCACTCATATTGGATCCCGACGCGTGCAAGGTGAGAACTTGAGCCACTAGGTTTCCATGCCGGGCCAGGGATGGACACAGACGTCCTAACCCTGAGGTCAGGAGCCTGTCCTTGTAGCCTCTGAGTCCGGAAAGCAGACCAGGCCATTCCTGCTGGGTGATTCTGTTCGCATCACTATTGATTTTTTGTGGACTGTCCGCAAGGGTGGCAGGGAGCCAGGCACTTGGCTCATTCTTGTGCTGCTTCCCCAGGTGCAGTGGCAGGAAGCAGGATTGGAGTGGCGCAGTCGGGCCTTGAACCTGTGCTCCTGTGTTGCTGGCTTTGCAGGTAGCATGGATCAATCCACCACGCCACAGTGCAGGTCCCTGTACAGATCCCTGTGACGTGTCAGCTTCAGTTCCCTCTGCTGAAGCATGCTTTTCCTAACATCTCTCTTGAGGTGGGTCGGTGGTATGGCGGTTAAGCCGCAGCCTGGGAGACCCACGCTCCATGTCTGAGAGCTGGATTGAGGCCCATTTGCTCCTGATCAGCTCTCTACAAATGTGCCTGGGAAGCCGGTGGAGGACAGCACAAGCGCTGCTTGTCTCCCGCAGTGCATATGGGACAGCAATGGAGTCCCTGGCTCCTGGCTCCAGCCTGGCACATCCTGGCTGTTGTTGCCATTTGGAGAGTGAGCCTGTAGATTGAAGAGCTGTCTGGGTCTGTCTGCCTCTGTCACCCTGTCCAAGAAATAGCGTGAGTCATCTAAAAAAACCCTTCAAAAAAAAAAAAAAAAAAAAGAAAGAAAGAAAAAAGCTCCTCTCTTAAAGGTACAGTGACATGCAATGACATACAAGGAAGGAGCCCTTTTCCTTGCAGTATAGAGGGAGGTGGCACGTGGAGCCGGTGCCTGGGATCTTTCCACCAGCTTCCCGCTTCCCTCCATGCTCTGCTGACACATCCCGCTCCTCCCTCTCCATCCACCATCCCTTGGCAGCCCTACGCTTCCTCCTTGTGCCCTTATCTGAGCTGACCAGCTGGCTGTGACCTCCCCTAGCCCCCCTCCCCCGCTCCCCAAGGCCAAACCTCTTAACAGAGCTGTCTGCACCCTCTCGGCCTCGTCCTCACCCCTCCCTGCCCTCCTCTCTCTCACCCTGGCAGCCACCCCAGCTCTCCCATAAACTGATCTGGCAGCTGTCTCCTTGTGCAACACTGTGAGGACTCCCTGGCCTTATCGGCCTAGGTGACACTTCTGGCAACGTCCCGAAACACTTTTGCCCTGCCTGGGCTTCCCTGCCTGGAGCTCCCTGGAGGCTGCCAGCATCCCGCTCCCCCCCCCCCCGCCCCTCCTGGCTGCTTGCCATTGGTCTCTCTCCAGTACTGGGCGGCTGGACCTGGGTCTCCTGGCCCTTCTCCATGCTAAGGCCGAGGCCGTCCTCACAGTGGATTTGGCCCACATGCTGTTATTTCAAGGGGCCTTTTGGGAAATGGAGTAGAGTAGCCTGTGTTGAGAAAGCAGCTCTCACGTAGCGATCTGAACCTCTGGACAATCAAACCTCTGGCGCAGTCAAACTGGCAGGTGGGCCCTGCTGCCCCCCCTTGCATGGCCAGCCTGGCTCCCACATCTGTCTGCCCCTCTGCTCTTGCTACTTCGTATCCATGGAAACTGAGGGTGGACTGAGAGAGCTTAAGGGTTCATGAGAAGTGGGAAAGTGTGCGGGGCTTATGAAACGAAAGCTACCACGCACTTCCTATGCCAGGGATGGAGGTCTGCGTTGAGAACAAGCCTTACCTCACCACCACCAACCCCATCAGCTCCTGTGCAAACTGGCCTGAGCCCGGTCCGTGTGGATCTAGGTCTGGTCCTTCCGCTGACCCCGGACTTGTCTCCTGAATGCCCCACAGGCACCTACCTCGTTCACCTACTGGGTACCCCACAACAGGATGCCCATACCAAGCGTTCCCCTATTATTATTATTACTTTTTAAGATTTTTATTTTCATTGGAAAGTCAGATATACAGAGAGGAGAGACAGAGAGGAAGATCTTCCGTCCCATGATTCACTCCCCAAGTGACCTCAACAGCTGGAGCTGCGCCAATCCAAAGCCAGGAACCCAGAACCTCTTCCGGGTCTCCCACGCAGGTACAGGGTCCCAAGGCTTTGGGCCGTCCTCCACTGCTTTCCCAGGCCACAAGCAGGGAGCTGGATGGGAAGCAGGACTGCCAAGATAAGAACCAGCACCCATATGGGATCCCGGTGCATGCATACAAGGTAAGGTCTTTAACTGCTAGGCTATCATGCTGGGCCCACCTTCCCCTATTTTTTCGGGGCTCCAGGAGAAACCACAGTGGAGCCCCTTCTGTTAAAGAGGAAAGGTGCAAGGAACTGAGGTGTGTAGATGTGCCGCAGGTCCCTGTTTCAGACACCCCTCTCCCCCACCGAAGGCCAGGTGACCACCAGTATGCTAGACTGTGCTGAGCGCCTCGTTTGGCCCTTGGTCAGGGGACATGACAGGGAGCATCCGTGGGAAACAGGGGGCCCCGGAAGATAGCGGGGTTACCACCAACACGTCCTCGAGGTGCCAGGCAGATGTGCATTTTCTAGACCAGGAAATGCTGCCCAGGGCTGGCCGGCCCCCGGACAGCACACAGTGTCAGGTGTGGTTTGCCTGGCCATGGGGTTGGGGGGCAGGGTCGGCTCTCCCAGCCTGTCTGAGCATATCTTCACGAAGCTTCGTCAGCAAGCTTAACGCCCATACGACGGAAATAACTCCCCTGCGCGCAGGTGCGGTGGTGCAGCACGTTAAGCCGCCCACATCTGGAATCAGAGTGCTGGTTCCCTTCTCAGCTCTGCTTCCACGCTGGCTTCTTGCTGGGGCGACCTGGGAGGCAGCACGGGAGGGCTCAGGTGCTGGGCCCCTGCCTCTCTCGTAAGAGACCCACATGGAGCTCTTGGCCCCGTCCTGGCTGTGGCAGGCACTTGAGGAGCGAACCAGCAGATGGAAGATCTCTTTTTGACCCAGTTACCCTGCGGACTGTCCTCTTTCACCCCCTTCTCAAGGGCAGTGATGCTGGCGCTCACGCACAAGGGGCCCTCACCTGGCGCTCCCTGGCACGCCCCTGCCCACAGCTGCCCTTCTTTATCCTTCCTGCCAGTCAGGCCAGCGGCTGCCTCCACGTGCTCCTCCCTGTACCTCTGTCCTCTGACAGCGACCTCTCATCAGGCCATCCAGATGGCCAGTCAGGCAGGACCACGGGAACCCCTCTCGCACTGTGCGCGTCAAGTCCCACCACTCCCAGGGACAGGGGCGACACAGACGTGGCTGGACACAGGTTTATTATGGCAATGGAGGTGAAGGAGGGGCTGGTGTGGCCAGCAGCGGTGACTGCAGTGGGGGGAGTGTGGGGGCACGTGAGGGGACAACATGGGGTCCAGAGAACCCCAGACTGGGGGCAGGAGTCGGGCTCGGGACAGCCGTGGCCAGCCCTACCCAGAAAGGCTGGGCAGGTGAGGACTTGTAGATGCTTCGGGCTGGGTCAGACGCAGGTGTCAGCGGGCAAGGAGGATCACACGTGTGAGAAGGCATGGCTCTTACAGAGGGGCTTGTCCTTCTTGGAGTAGAAGGTTTTTCCTTCCAGGTTGATCTGACAGATCTGCGGGCAAGTCAGCGGGAGGGGCGGCGGGTGGGAAAGGCTGTCTCCAGTGGGCGGGGGCCGGGGGCAACCAGCAGAAGGCGAAGGGCGGGGCAGGTGGGAGTGGGGCCGAGGCCGGGGTGGGCGCTCACCGCGCACACGAAGCAGGTGTCATGCCAGCTGAAGCCCAGCGCCTCCAGGAAGCGGTCCCCGGCGTCGATCTTGAAATCACAGCCACGGCATTTGGTGCCAAACATCTTCTCGTAGTCTGAGGAGGGAGGCAGGGGAGAGGCCGGAGGGGGGGCGGGCTGGGATCTGTGCTGGCCGCACGCCCTCACCCCACCCTGCCCTTGCTGAGGGGTGGGGCGGCCCCGTACCTCGCTCACAGTAGGGCACCCCTTCCTCCATGTAGAAGGCCCTGTTGCGAATGGGGGTCTTGCAGGCAGTGCAGGTGAAGCAGTGTACGTGCCACGTCATCTTCAGGGCGTGCATGATCTCCTGGGGGGGCGACCACAGTCACGTGGGAGCCCCCGCCCCCGCCTACTCCCCCGGTTCTCCCCCAGGGGTCTTCCTTCTCACATTATGCCTACACACTCCGTTGTCCTCACATCCCCACTCCCAACAGGCTCCTTCCAGCTGCTGGGGCCCAGTCCCTCCCTTCCTCTCGCACCCTTTGCTAGGCCCACCCCTAAAGCACATTCATCGCCAGGCTGCTCCATCTCCCTGCCGCAAGGCCTCACAGCTGCAGGTGGCAGTCATCTCTGGGCTCGGACACACCACACCATGGCGAGTCCTGCAGCTCGCGGCAGGTGGCTCCCCTACCCCCATTCCAGAATACCTTCCATCTATCTGAACCAAAGCCAAGTGCTGAGCAGGGACTGCAGGCTGGTGGGGTCCCTGCCAGGGTCACCATGCCAGGCACCCACTTTGGGCTGTACCCTAGATAGCTCAAGGACCACCCCTCATCTCCAGGGGTCCACTCAAGGCCCATGGCAGCTTACATCTGCCTGGCCTGCGCCATGTCACTGCCCTTAACCTGCTCTTTCCTGTCACCTGGTACTCATGGCACTGCCTGACCATTTGCTTACTGCTCTTTTTGTTTTGTTAAGATTTACTTTTTATTGGAAAGGCAGAATTATAAAGAGGCGGCCATCTTCAGCCTGCTGGTTCATTCCCCAAGTGACCACAATGGCCAGAACCGAGCTGATCTGAAGCCAGGAGCCAGGAGTTTCTTCCGGGTCTCCCATGTGGGTGCAGGCTCCCAAGGCTTTGGACCATCCTCTACTGCTTTCCTGGGCCACAAGCAGGGAGCTAGAAGGGAAGTGGAGCAGCCGGGACATGAACAGGCACCCACATGGGATCCTGGTGAGTGCAAGGTGAGGATTTAGTCACTAGGCTACTGAGCCAGGTCTACTGCTTCTCACTCTTCCTACTGAAACTGAAGACCAGGAGGGAGGAAGCAGTGACTTTTCTAGAAACTGTTCCATGCCCACGGTGACCTCCTGTCAGTGGGTGCCCAGTGAACCAGGGCCAAGCAGAGGCTCATAGGGGTTGAGCGCTCTCACTGAGTCTGTGCTGCCCACCTCTGTGCCCATCCCTGCCCTCACTGACTGGGGGCAGCAGCACTTAGATCTGGAACAGGCAGGAGCTGGTACCTCTGTCCCTGCCTCGCGGGGCCGAGCCTGGAGCCAGAGATCCCAGCTCCAGTGACCGCCAGGGCCAGGTGGGGCTTTGCCATGGGATAAAAACACTTGCTCTGCTTCTAAGGGCAGTGCCACTGGTTCATGCGGGCATGTCTGGAAGGCTTCGATTGAGATTCAGGTTTCAAAGTCACATCTGCTGGCTTTGAAACGCTGGCCATTGATGAAAAAAAGAACTAGAGCAGCCGTCCAGGTACAACCCATGTGAGGGTGGCACGGAGCGTGGCTCGGCTCAAACGTGCCCTCTAGCGGCAAAGCACGGCACTCGTCAGATGTTCCTGCTGGCCTGAAGGTCTCGCCCCAGCTGGCACTCAGCAACAATGGCTGGCTCCCCACCCCGATGCCTGGTGCTTCCTTTTTCAAGGGATCAGAGGGCCCTGGTGAAACACTGGGGCTGTGAGCTGGTTGGAGAGGCGGCTGCAGCCGCGGCCTGGGCAGACAGTTTTCTCCAAGGGTTAAGAGCTTGTGGCCAGTTTCTGCCTTGGCCCTGTGGGTCTTACATCCTTCTCTGCCACCTGCTACTGCCCCAGAGGCAGCTGCGCATCTCTTTAGCCCCTGGCTACACCTCACACCTTGGGACACGCACTGGCCAAGTGCACCCCGCTTGAAGTGCACGTCCACCTGCTTGTTCAAGGGCCTGCTGACCATCGCTGTAATGCGCAGTGCCTGCTTGCAGGAGGCAGTCTGAATTATCCAGGATGAGACCAAAGCACAGTGGGCAGAGAGCAGGGGCCTGTCCCGGGGTGGGCAGAGGGAGGGGAGTGTCAGGGATGAGTGGTTCTGGTATCACAGTGTCCCATGAGACTATGCGTTGGCCCTGCAGCAGGACCAAGGGTGCCGGCAGAATGAAGAGACCTGTGTGGGTGAAATGAGGGGCTGTGCAAGTGCAAAGGGGTCCTCCGGTGCTGCCCACCGTACCCCTTTGGTGCTGCCCACCTGCATTCCTCTGCCACGCCCACCACCTTGCACATCACTACCCAGGGCAGGTGTAGCTCTAAGCGCTGGACACAAGGGGGCATGGCACAGCACATTTGCAAAAATTGATGGGCTGTGAGTCACCACTGGGGCAGCTGGCAGCTTTCTGCCTGTCCCCCCCAGGAGGCGAGATGAGCTGGGGCTCCCTAGGCACTGTTGGGGAACTCCCTGGTCAGCAGCACTGACCTGGCGGGTGTAAGCAAGCAAGCCTAGGACTCGGGGGGCAGGTAGCGCTCCAGCCCCATCTCTTGTGAGGACACAGGACTGGGGACAGGGGTGGCGAGCCTGCAGCAGGGCCTCGCTCTGGCGGAGTGAATCCAGAGACCCAGTGTGAGGAACGTGCACAGGACCCTTTTTCTGGAACAGTTTCATGGAGCTGTCCAGGAAATGACTGCAATCTTGGCCAAAATTCCCTCGTCTGTGAGCAGACTGACTTGGGACTTCCTGTGGTGAGCAGGCGACCTCTCCCAGGGACCTGCTGCTATGATGTCAGCGACAACTATATCCCCTCTTCTCCTGCCCATTCATGCAACCCTCACTTTTTGACGAGTGAGGGGGGCAGGCTTCTAGCAAATCAAAGCAAAGATCATATTTCTTGGGGCTGGCGAGGTAGCCTAGCAGTTAAATCCTCACCTTGCATGCACCAGGATCCCATATAGGTGTCAGTTTGCATCCTGGTTATCCCGCTTCCCATCTAGCTCCCTGCCTGTGGCCTGGGAAAGCAGTGGAGGATGGCCCAAAGCCTTGGGAGCCTGCACCCACGTGGGACTCCCAGAAGAAGCTCCTGGTCCTTGGCTTCGGATCAGCTCAGCTCCAGCCATTGCTGCCACTTGGGGAGTGAATCAGCCGACGGAAGATCTTCCTCTCTGTCTCTCCTTTTCTCTGTATATCTCACTTTTCAACAACAACAACAAAAAATCTTTTTAAAAAAACCTAACAAGAACAATAGATTAAAAAAAAAAAGATCATATTTCTCAGCCGGTGTGGCAGCTGGGTGGGGTCAGATGGCTGATTTCTGACCAATGGCATGGAGGCAGGAAGTGGGGCAGCAGCATCCCTTTAAGCTCGACCATGGGCCTGGGTCCCCTGTTCCCTTCCCAACAGCACGGTGGCTCCAGCGTAGCCGCCTGGGTGCAGGCTCAGGAGCCACTTTGAGTGGTGGGAAAACAGTCCTGGCTAGGCAGTGAGCGGCAGGAGCTTGGGTTGGCCTCACCACCGCCAGGCCGTCCACCTCTGGACTTGTGTTGAAAAATGAGTCATCATGGTGTTGAGTCTTCTGAACTTCATGGTTCAGATCAGCCCACTCACAGGACCATCAGAGAGCCCTCTGGCCACAGCCAGCAGCCTTCCCCGGGGGTTCCAGCAGGAGGAGGGGACAGAAGGAGAACCTGAGCTGGGAGGCTGGAGGCCCCTGGGGCTGCCCCAGCTCACCTCCACCCTGATCCCTGCCATGTTAGGGACCCCTTCCGCCCCTCTGTGCCTCAGCGTGTACGTATGCACAGGAGGGAGACATCCTGCCTGATCTGGGGAATGAACAACGGCTCTTCTGGTCTCTGCTTGTACCCACCACCCACTCAACACACACAGGGTGCACTCCTTGGGGCAGGACCCACACCTGAACCGCCCACGTGTGCATAGCACGACGCCCACTGTGCTCTGGGGGAGACCACCCGACTGGCCAGCTGTCAGCTCCTGACACGCACCCGAGAGACCCTAAGCCTGTGCAGGCTGTGCTGCGTTAGCCTCTGCAGGAAAAGGGCCTAGAATCCCAGGATTTAGAGCCCGAGCTTCTGGCTTTGCTGCTCGCCAGTCCTGAGCTGCTTAGCTCCCAGTCTCCTAGCGCACCTGACAAGTGGGCTGTGTAGACTGGCCTCTCACCATTAACTGCCCACGTCACGGTACAGCAGAGTCAGCGACCAGCTGCCAGGCTGGTATGCCCCAGGAGTGCTAACCGGAGTCCCAGCTGCTCCACTCCCATTGCAACTCCCTGCTAATGTAGCTGCGAAGGTGGAAAATGGCTCAAGTACTCGGGGCCCCTGTGACCCGTGCAGGAGACCCAGCTAGGGTTCCTGGCTCTCCCTGTAGCCCAGAGCAGTCATAAAGTTAACAGTGTCAGGGACTGGTGCCGTGGTGTAGTGGGTAAAGCTGACGCCTGTGACATCAGCATCTCATATGGGCTGGGAGTTTGAGTCCCAGCCGCTCCACTTCCAATCCAGCTCCCTGCCAACACGCCTGGGAGGCAGTAGAGGATGGCTCAAGTGTTTAGGTTCCTGTATCCATGTGAGGAGTCTGGAAAAGCTCCTGGCTTCTGGCTTTGGAGTGGCCCAGCTCTGGCCATCGTGGCCATTTGAGGAGTGATCTAGCAGGAAGAAGCTCGCTCGCGCTCTCTCTCTCTGTATTCTGCCTTTGTAGCTGGAGCTAACAGTCCCAGCTTCCAGCTTTTCTTCCAAAGGCAAGCACTGGCTCGGGTGTCCTTGCCCTCTGCCTGCCCGCAGTGAGAATGGAGCTGCTGGAGTGATTAGGACAGACCTCTACATGCCAAGGACTTCAGACAACATGGTGGGGAACACTAGGGCTCCTACGGGCACCCCAGGATTCCCATAATGACATTTTCCGTGACTGCAGCCCAAGCGCAACCCAACTGTTGTGGCAGCCTCTCCCAGCCTGCCCAGCTCCTCCTTCCTGGCTTGATTTTAGGGAACCTTTTGTCCCTCAATCTTGAGCTGTGCTTCATGTGGGCTCACCTCGCCTCCTGCCTTGAGGGGTGGGGGTAACCAAGGCCTGCAGAGTCACAGGACTCAGGTGATGGTGACATGACTCAAGGAGGCGGATTTTGGTCAGTTGTTAAGAAGATTTTGGGGCTGGGATGATGGCACGGTGGGCTAAGCTTCCACCTACAGTGCTGATATCTCATGTGGTTCCAGTCCTGTTGCCTACTGATGTATCTGAGAAAGCAGCAGAGGACTGCCCCGGTGTTTAAGTCCCTGCCATCCAGAGGGGAGAGGGGAAAGAAACTCCAGGCTCCTGACGTCAGCCTGGACCTGCCCTGGGCATTGAGGCCACGTGGGAATGAACCAGCAGATGGAAGACTTCTCTGTCTCTGTTGCTATGACTCTCAAACAAATAGAAATCTTTTTGTTTTATAGAAGATTCTGGCTCATGTCAAGCGAGGCCCACACAGAAACCCACTGATTAGACCATGAATAGGATCCCTCATGGGGGCCTCTCCAGACTCAGGCTGTAGTTGCTCCCCGAGTGTCGGAGGGCCCCTGTCCGCCCCGCAGCCCCACTCACGCCAGCGATCTTTTGCTTGCACTTGGCACAGGTCGGGGCGTAGCGCACATCATAGCAGGGTGGGCAGAAGATGGAGCCCTTCTCCTCAAAGAAGCCGCCCTCTTCCAGGATCTTTCCACACTGGCTGCACACAAACTCCTCGGGGTGGTAGGCGTGGCCCAGCGCCACCAGGTAGCGGCCCCTGAGGGGAGAGGTGAGGGCAGTGAGAGTGGACAGGGGACAAGAGCAAGCCCGGGAGAGGGGATATTACATCCGCTGGAAGTCCCAGGTGACAAGGTCCATCCTAGTTTTGCAAGGGAACAGCTTGGCCCAGGTCACACGGAGTGTGAAGAGGCCAGCATCTGATAACCCTGCTGGTGTCCTGGGCGCAGGAGTCCCCAGGAACCCCAGGGGAGGACTGGGGGCCCAGCTCTCCATCTGGCCTGGGGAGGGGGCTTGCTGCTCCCAACAGGTATGTGAGGAATAGGGAGCCCGGTAGAACTTCCACTTAAGAGCTGATGGGGAAGCAAGAGCAGGCCAGGGCCAGGAACGTTCTAGAATCTGGCACACTGACCCAGGGGCAGAGTGTGCAGAGGGAGCTGGCTCACCTGCTCTGGAAGACAAGACTGAATGAGTGGGAAGAAGAGAGAGAGCCAGGAGGGGCAGGAACTCTGGGGATGCAGTTTTGGGCTATCACCTTTTTGGATCCCCAAATGTTGCCAGTGGCTGACGCCAGTCAGTATACAGGGTATGGACTATAGGAATGAAGACCCTGGGGAGCCAGGACAGACCCCCCAAGATCCCCCCACCAGGAACGGGAACCTCCTATCTTCCTCTAGCGGCTGCTGAGGATGGAGGAGTAGCCATCAGACAAAGCAGGAAGGCCGAGAAGGAACAGGGCCACCTACCGAATGACCTTGTGGCACTGGTGGCACACGGGAGTCTTGCCGTTGCTGCCTCCGCTCCCCCCTGCGTTGCCTCCGGTGGCGGCCTGCACGATGGAGGTACGATTCTGCAGGGGCGTGGGCGTGGCCGGCTGGCTGTGCCGGGTCAGCACCGTGCTGGTTTTGTCCGGGGCGTAGCGCTCAGCAAACGCAGGATCCACAGCCCAGGGTGGGCGGCTGGTGGGGCTGGGGCTGGTGGGGCCTGCCAGGGCCCAGGAAAGCAGCTCCAGGCAGGTGCAGGAGTGGGTATGGAGGAAGGGAGTGGGGTGGTGAGGGCATGTGTGGAAGCTAGGACTGAGGGATCTACCACCCCATCTTCTCCCAGGAGCTGCCCACCCGGCCCCAGCCCGTTGTCTCACCAGGCCAGGGTTCCTGGGCTGTGCTTGAGGATGGGGCTGGGATGTCTGTCCTGGGCACCTGGCTGTGAGATGGACCATTCAAGGTTTCTGTCACGGCCCCACCTGGTCACCCAGGGCCTGCTGGCACCGGGTGGGAGGAGCCTGGGTGTGGAAGGGCAATGTTGCCCAGCCAGGTTCCAGCCAGCTGGACAATGGTCCAGAGCAGCGTGCTCCCATCTCTGGGAGTTCATCTTATCCCAGTGCTGAGAGCAGGGCAGCCTCTCCCACAACCAGCCCTCCCCTCCCAGGGTGATCCAGGCCGCACCATCCAACAACCCCACAAAGATGAAATCAGAGGCAGAGAAAGCAGGGCAGCGGATGTTTATTTCCAGGCCCACAACAGCACAGACCTGGCGGACAGCAGGACCATGGGGCAATGAAGGAAAGCAGGGTCAAACAGAGCCAGACCTACGCCAGGTGGGCTGCCAGGGCCAGGCCTGAGCAGGGGAAGGACAGGGCAGGTAGTGGAAGCTGGAGGCACCAAGGGTGTGCCTGGGGGTGGGCAGGCGGCACAGAGAGAGAGAGCAGCAGAGAGGGCAGCCGACAGGCCCAGGCTAGGACTGCACGTTGAGTACGTGGGCAGAGCGCTGGTGGTGCCAGTCCCGGAGGCGGGTGTAGCGTGGGCTCTGTAGTTCCAGGACATACTTTTCCCTGAGGGACAGAGAGAAAAGGAGGAGGAAGTGGAAGGAAGGAGACGGAAGGGAAGGAGGAAAGGAAGGAAGGGAGGGAGGGAAGGAAGGAAAGAGGAAGAAAGGAGAGATGGGAGGGAGGGAGGCAGGAGGCAGCGAGGGCTTCGGGACACCATGAGCGCACACACAGCACCGGGCTACCCCACAGGTGGCAGGGGCTGCACCTGTTCCTTTACCTTGATTTCTTCAGGTGTTCCTCGTCCGGGTCTTGCACTGGGAGGGCAGAGGAAGGCAGTGACCAAGAGAAACCATTGGTTTGCCCCAGCTTGGGAGGACCGCAGGAACCTGCCTGGCTCTGGCCCCCGGCCCCGTACTTACTGAACTCGGTGCCCGTGAGGTGGGCAAGGATGCGGAAGGAGCGGGACTGGCCCGTGCCCGGCCGCGGCCGCCAGTCTTCCGTGTCCTCCATCAGCCGCTGCTTGCTGGCGTCGGGGACAAGTGGCCGGAGAGGCTGTCTGTGGGGAGGGGGCGGCTCAGAACTTCATGTTGTGCATTCGGTGGGCGCAGCCCCTCCTGGAGGGTTTACGGTGGTGATGGTGCTGGTGGTGGGTGGGTGGGGAGTGGGGAAGGGCGATGGAGGGGGCCTGGGGGGCCAGGGAGAGGGGGAGGGCAGGGGGTGGCCAGGGTGGGGAGGGGCTACTGCCCAGAGTGCCGGAAGGAAGGAAGACAGGGACAGGCAAAGGGGGCTCACTGACTTGTCAGGGGTCTGCACCTGTGAAGGAAATAGACAGATGGACAGATAACGGGACAAAGGGACAGACACACAGAGGAAGAAAGATGGGCAGGGTCAGAGTCGCCTGGGCAAGGTGGCACCGAGAGGGGCTCAGCTGGCCCAACCCACCCCCGACCCCAGGCGGCTGGCAGCAGGGATGGGCACTGCCGTGTCCGTGGCCCCCCAAAGAGGTGGGAGCCACACCCTTGGGGGGCCCAGTGCCTGCCACCCTGGCCGCCAGGGATCGCTGCCGCACGGTTCCTGGCCTGATTGGAGCGCGCAGTGCAAGGAGCAGCAGCGCGCAGCGGGCAGGCGTGGGCAGGTGGGCGGCTGGGCTGGAGGGCAGGGGCCGACGTACCCATTCTGCTGCGGGGCGCTGTCAGCAGGCGGGGGCGCCCCGAACGGCCGGGCCGTCTTGTTGAGAGAGGCACTGGGTGCAAAGGTGTACCGCGGGGGGTCCGCGGCAGGGGCCAGGGCCTGGGCAGAGACAGAGCCGGGCAGGGCAGGCGGGGGTGGGGGTGGGGGGGACGCAGATGGGACGCCCCTGGAGAGGAGAGCCTCCACATCCTGGTGGGTGGCTGCGGAGCTGCGAATGCTCCCATTGGGGAGCGATGACCTCAGCCCCAGGCAGGGGGAAGGCGGAGGGCGGCAAGTGCAGTGCAGGCCGGTGGAGGCAGGCAGACATGCGTGGGCCCCGGACCGTGCGGCAGCCCTAGGGCTCAACTCCCCAGACCTTCCCCCTCAGGGTCTGCCTTCCACTCCCCAACAGGAACTCCCAGACAGGGAAGGGTGCTGCGGCTGTCACAGGGTGGGGGCAGGCCAGCCTGGGCATCCCAGCCACCAGCCCTCCCCCACCACCCAGAGCTCCCCAGGCCGCCGCCCACCTTCTGCGGTTTATTCTGAGCCGGCTGAGCCCTGGAAGAGAAGGGAGAAGGTGGACAGGATGGTGGGTGGACGGGACGGGCGAGGCCAGGACAGCGCCTGCCACCTCCCACCCAGCAACCTGCAGCCCTGCACACCTGCTAAGACCCAGGCTGAGCCGCTCCCCGCAGGCCCGGATCTTGTTCTGGGCCTCAATGTGCGTGAGGCTGCCTGCGTTCTCGCCATCGATGCTCAGCACCCAGTCGCCCACGGCCACGCCGGCCTGCGCAGCTTTGCCTCCGGGAGTGAGCTGTGGGCAGCAGGAAGGGTCAGGGAGGCCAAAGCTGAGGAGGCCGCTGGTCCCGTGCCGCCAGGAGCCACGTGTCCTTGGGCTGCTGCTGCATCCTCAGGGAGCCAGGAAAGGGATCAAGGCCCCCCAGTCCTACCCTCACCGGAACATAACCAAACAACCCCCTCATTCCTGACAGCAGGGTCCCCGGCAAACCCCACTGGGCCCCTGTAAGCCTGTCAACACAGGCAGGGTGGCCGGGCTGCCCGTAGGTCTGAGCCCCTGGGAGTACAACGTGACAAGGAGCCTGGCACCCACTGCTAGAGCCCCAGGAGGTTCTGAGGAGATGCCAGACAGCACTGAGAGGACGAGGGCACGCTGGGTTGGATGGCTGCACCGGGATGGCAGGGCGCACACACTGGGCCGTCCCTTCCTCTTAGCAGCCCGCAAGTAGCTTCTGAAGGAGTCTGCTGTGACACGTGGCAAGACAGGTGAAGTAACACCAGTCACCAAGCTAGCAAGAGACAGAGGCAGGACCAGGCCCTGCCTCTCCAGCTCTGCCACTCCAGGCTAACTCTGCTGGGGGGGAGGGGTTACCTGGAAGGACTCCCTGATGCCCCCACAGGGTGTGAAGCCCCACTCCTCCATCTAACTCCCTCAGTGGGCAGGGGAAGTGGTGCCCTGCAGGGGAAGTGACTTACTCAAGGTCACCAGTGAGTCAGTGAAACCTGGCCTGGCCACTCCCTGCCCACACTGGGAGGCGTGGGGGAGCCCACGGTAGGGGCCTCAGGGGTAGGCAGGAACAGCCGGCTGGGGACGGGAGGAGGGTTCAGGGATCATTTCCTTCCTGGGAGTGGGAGGACAGGAAGTGTGAGGAGTGGTGGTGGTTAGGGTGGGGGTGCTGGAAGCCAGAAGAGCTTGGCAAGAAGAGTCAGAAGCAGCTCTGGCCAGGGTGAGGGCGAGGCCACAGGGCCACGGAGGGGAAAAGCCAGGGGGCTGGACACTGAGGGGCGAGGGCGTGAGTCAGCCCAAGGGCTCCACGGAGCAGCCCAACCCCCCCGGTCCAGACGTTACCTCATCTCCCAGGCCCGGGCCCGCAGCCAGCCCCAGCCCCTCCCTCCTCCCTGTTTTCAGGGGTCAGCACAGGAGGAGAGGGCTGGCCCAGCTCTGCAAAGACCACCCCACCCTCCAACCACCGGGGGTGGGCAGCCTAGGTCCAACTGCAAGGCTAGGCTTCACTGGGAGCCCCACCCCTACCCCTGGCAGCAGACAGGGCAACCCCGGGCCAGGGTGCCCCTGGCAGGCCGCATCCTTATCAGTGAAGCGGGGAGGCTGTGCCCAGGTGGGCCTCCCTTGTCCCAGCCAGTCATGGAGGCACTTTCCCAGGGAGAGGGATGTGGGGTAGGTTCCCAGGGTGCAGAGGGAGCGTGTGTGTGTGTGTGTGTGTGTGTGTGTGTGTGTGTGTGTGGCCTGCTGGCAGGCCAGACTCCAGAGAACTCTGTGGAAAGATCCCAGCAGAACATGGCCTGCCCTAACCATCAACAACCCTCAGCCCCCTCAGGCTGGGCTTGCCCTGGGCTTCCTGCCAACAGCTGTATGCCCACCAGGCAGCTGGGTGGGCCTCTGGGCAGACGGATATAGGGGCAGGAAGTTCCCGCCCCCTCCTGACCCCCAGGTTCCAGGCTGGCCGCGTCCCACCAGCTGGAACCACAGCCTGGCCAGCCGGTGAGGAGCTCACGGCCCGGGCTCAGAGGGTGAGCCCTTTTCAGCTAGGTAGACCTCTCCACTGGTGGCCATCCCAGCCTGGGGCTGCATTCTTGGGCTTATAAGGCAATCCCCCGGCCACAGGGAGGGGCGAGTCGAGAGCTCCGCCCCCAGCAGGGTCGACTTCTCAGGAATTCAGGAGTCCGGCAGCCTAGCCTAGCCACACCTCTGCTCAGGGTCAGGGGCCACCACATCCTGGACGGGGCCAGTGTAAGGAGGGAGACACACACCCTCACACAGGCTGGGGGAGATGCCCTTCTACAACCCACAAAATCTGCAGGGCATCCTTGCCCCATTCCGATCCCTGCCTTGGCACGACCCCACTGGACAAGCTGGCATCTCACTGGATGCCAGTTGCTACCCCTGGGTGGACGTGAGCACCGTGCCAGGGGAGGGGGGCTGGAGATCAGGTGTAGATCCTGGCTGGTGACGCTTCTCCCACCTGGCATAACAGGTCTTCTCCCCGAGGTAGCCACAGGGAGCCTGGTGGAGGGGGAGCTGGCAGGTGCGGTGGGGACTTTGTACAACTAGCTGGCCATCACTTCTCAGGCCTGTTGACACCCGGCCCTCCTGCTGAAGTTCCGCCCAGAGATCTGAGCAGCCAAAGACCTGGGGTGGGGTGGGGGCGCCCCTCTCCCAAACCAGGCTCACCCGGGAGATGGAGAGGGGAACGTTGAAGTCCTTGCCCCCTTGCAGCCGGAAGCCCCAAGGTGCCGGCCCTTCCAGCACCACTTTGAAGGAGTCCATGGTGCCAGCTCCTAAGAGGAGAAGAGAGGAGTGAGTGTCCCGCAGGGTGGGCACACGGGCAGCCCAGCCCTGGACGCTAGCCTGGAGCAGGTGCCAGAGCGGCACGGCCGCGGTGAGGCGGGGGCAGGTATGCTGTCAGGCATCCTCGGGTGGGCCGCGCCGTGGATTCTGGCACGTCTGCCCTCCAGCCAGCCCGGAGCCTCGGGCGGGCGGCGGGGTGAGTCAGGGGCCGGCTCTCCCCGCCCCCCTGGCCCCGGCAGGCAGGCAGGCCGGGCTGCAGCCTGCTCGGACTATATAAGGCGTGTAAGCTGACACTGCGCCGAGGGAGCCGCGGGGGCTCCGCGCAGGGGGAGGGGTGCGCGCCAGGCGGCTCCAGGCCGCTGCAGCCGGGGCGGGGGTCCCCGGGCGCCGCGGAGGGGCCGCGGGGCCGCTGGGGGCACCCCTGGGCCGGTGACTCAGTTTCCCCCTCACCGCGCCCGGGCCAGGTCTCCCCACCACCACCACCACCACCCCACCACCCCCGCAGGAAGCGGCGCAGGCGCCGATCCGCCTCGCCACGGAACGGCGGGGGCGGGGGCCGGCCCGGCGGGAGGGCGCGACCCCGCAGCGCCAGCGGGCTGCGACCCCCGGCCCCGCGCCCTCGCCGGTACCTGCTCGGCCCCGCCGGGGCGCTGCACGGCGGCGGGCTCCGGGCGGCAGCGACGGGACCCGGTCGTCCGAGCGCTCTGACCCCGCCCCCGCCGGCGCCGCCCGCTTTGAGGCCGCGGGAGGGGGCGGGGCCCGAGACCACGCCCCGCGGCGGCCCCGCCCGAGCCGCCCGGCTTGCCCAATCACGACGTCCCTTCTCGCGCCGAGTTCCCGGCGGGGGCGGGGCGGGGCGGGGCCCCAGGGAGACACTGCCCCGCCCACGCCGCGCCGGGCTGCAAGCCGCCGGGCTGCAGGAGAGAGCAGCCTTGACGGGCAGGCCTCGCTGGACGGAGGTCGTCGCGCACCCTTAGTTTCCTCCATACTGCTCCCCGCCCAGGTCTGTATGGCGGACGCAACGGTGGGCGGTCCCGAGATTTCCCAGGTGGAAGGAGTGGAGGGGGCGTCGGGTCGGGGTCAGGATCTTGCATGCGGGTGTGCTGGGTCTGCTATGCGCTCCACCCCACACTGGGTCTGGGGGGGTCCCTGGCTCGGCCACAGCCCAGTCCGTGGGGCCCTGCCTGCCCGGAGCTCCGAGCCCGACCCCGCGCCCCACGCTGCCAGGTGGACCTGCGTCCTGGCGCCTTGCACGCCCGGGCTCGCAGTGGCCCTAGGCGGTGGGGGTGCTGGATGGAGCCGTGGCCGTCTTCCTCCGTTTTGAAGCCCCATCCCTCTCCGGCCCCCATCCACTAGCAGGATCCGCTGATCGCTGCTGCCACTTGTCATCTCGTTCCTGGTCACCTATCACAGTCTCCTGCTTTTCACCCTGGCCTCCTCAGGACCTTCTTACCCATGTGGCAGTTCCCAAAAGGATGCATTTGTTGGCGCTGAGCCTATCCAAAGTCAGGAGCCAGAAGCTTCTTCTGGGTCTCCCACATGGGTGCAGGGGCCAAGGACTTGGGCCATCCTTTTCTGCTTTCCCAGACCATAAGCAGGGAGCTGAATTGAAAGTGGAGCAGCCAAGCCCTGCGAGATGGCTCAGTGATAAAAACTCACCTTGCAACCACCAAGATCCCATATGGGCACTGGTTCCTGTCCTGCAAGGATGGCCCAGAGCCTTAGGACCCTGTCTGCCGTGTCACTCCCCAAAATGTCCAGGCGCCCAGAATTCCATCCAGGACTCCCAAGTGGGTGATGGGACCCAGTGACTCTAGCCACCTAGGAGGTGTGTGCCACCCTCTGATGTTAAGTGTTTGCTGTTTTTTTTTTTTTTAAGATTTACTTTTTTTTTTTTTTCAATTGGAAAGTCATATTTACAGAGAGGAGAGACAAAGAAAGATCTTCCATCTGCTGGTTCACTCCCCAAGTGACCACAAGGGCTAGAGCTGTACCGATCTGAAGCCAGGAGCTAGGAGCTTCTTCCAGGTCTCCCATGCAGGGTCCCAAGGTTTTGGGCCATCATCTACAGCTTTCTCAGGCCACAAGTAGGGAGCTGGAAGGGAAGTGGAGCAGGCAGGACACGAACCAGCACCCATATGGGATCCAGGTGTGTTTAAGGTGAGGACTTTAGCTGCTAGGCCACCGTGCCGGGCCCGTACTTCTTAATTGTTGCCTGTTTGCATTAGAATATCTGTCCAGGGGCCTGGCACAGTAGATTAAGCCTCTGTCTACAGTGCTGGCATTCCATATGGGCACTGGTTCAAATCCCAGCTGCTTCCTGATTATGGTTTGGGAAAACAGAGGAGGATGGTCCAGTTCCTTGGGACCCTCAATCCATGTGGAAGACCCAGAGGGAGCTCCTGGCTCCTGGCTTCAGATTTGCTCAGCTCCAGCCCTGTGGCCATTTAGGGAAAGAACCAGCAGATGGAATATTATATCTCTTTTTCTCTGTGTAACTCTGCCTCTCAAATAAAAATAATTTTTTTTTTTTAAGATGTCAGTCCCCTGAGACCATGGGGCTCTGTGAACAAATAGTTGAAGGAAAGATTGAGAAAAGCTTTTGTTTGTCTCATTGTGCGCGCATAAACTAGTCAAAAGAGAAAAGCTTGTGCCCTGGAAGGCAGTCACGGACAGCCCAAAGCCTTGGGATCCTACACCCACATGGGAGACCTGGAAGAAGCTCCTGGCTTCTGTCTCTGCACTGGCTCACCTCTGGCCATTGCGGCCATCTGGGGAGTGAATCAGCAGATGGAAGAGCTTTTCCTCTCTCTCCTTTTCTCTGATCTGCCTTTCCAATAAAAATAAATCGTTAAAAGAAAAAAAGAAATCAATGCCAGTCCCCTGAGACCAGGGGTTGCGTATCCTGTTTCCCTTGTCCCACCATGCATTGAGTGTGAGCCAGTAGCTGAAGGAAATACTGATAAAGGAAAGGGGCGAGTGAACAAGACGGGTCAGCCTGGGGGTCTGCGGGTTCCCTAGCAGGGGGCAGTGCCACTCGGGTCCTCATGACCCTGAGCCCTCCCAGGTGAACCACCCCTGGGAAGGAACCGGGCCTGGACTAGGGCACAGCGCCCCCTGGTGCCCGGACTGCTGCAGCTCCAGGGCCCCGTCCCTAGGGTCCTGCAGGTTTCCAAGGACTTGGCTGTCCACAGCACACTGGCTGGACCAGCATGGGACTTCGTAGGTGAGAAAACGCTTTCATTCATAAAAAAACGAGCAAATAATGCTAGGTCAGGTACCTGGAATCCAAGTTCCAGTTGTGGTCATGACATTTGCTGAGCTAGCAGGGCTGGGCTCCGAGCTGCCACCTCAGGCGGCAGAGACTTCTGCTGCGGCCACCCTGAGCAGCAATTCTTAGCTTGCTCTTTGTCCATCAGGAAAGACCTGGAAGACATGCAGATGAGCTGTTTTTTCACAAGAATGCTCTCCCTTCTTGCATGAGGGTCTACAGCTGAGGTGGTCCCGAGGTCGGACTGCATGTCTGTATAATTTCCTGAGGTTGGGATTGAGTGCAGTGGTGTGGTTTGGGGAGCTTCCTAAGAAACCTCGCCTGAGAGGTCTTCAGATCTTGCTCTTTGCTGTAGCTAGTCTACCTTCTGTACTAGTCAAAGCATGTGCTTAGTCGGTACCCTCCCTAGCCCTGGCTCCGATGTACTGCAGACGAGGCCAGCCCAGCCAGCCCCCGGGCCTTGCTCTGGTGCAACTGTGTGTTGTGCATACCCAAGAGGTGCTGGCAGCTGTTAAAATAAGATAGAGAGAGAGATAGAAGAAGAAGGAGGAGAGGAGGAGAGAAGGAAAGAGAGATAGTTAAGTAAGTGAATCCACTTCTGGGAGGGTCTGTGTGGGTAGCCAAGGTGAGTACCCCTGGAGGCTGGAAAGAACTCTAGCAGAGAGAAGCTCGGGAGGCGAGAGCTGGGAGGGGACGGGGGAGCCACATGGGAGCAGCGGCCCAGGCAGGGGTGCAAGATGCTGCTCAGAAGCTGAGGGAGTCTGGGGGGCTTTTGTTTTGGGGAACCAGGAGGTTGGGGAGTCTGAGGGTCAAGGGGAGGTGAGGCTAGCCGAGGGGAGACTGGGAGGTGAGAAAGCAGAAATGAGAGCGGCTGATGCTTTCTAGAAACTTCTCTTGAGAGTATCGAAGAACAGGGAGGCAGCATGGGGACACAAAGGTCTTGGTGGAAATCGGGAAACAGGCTGAGGGTGGCGGGGATGTGAGGGTGGTACCAGGGTCAGTGGGGCCAGGAGGGGAAGCACAAGCCCTGAGCAAGCAACAGGAGAGGGGATCAGAGCTCGGGCTGGGCACGGACACTTCCTCCATTGTAGGGGCAGGTGTGGTGGGCCGTGAGAGGGCAAGGACAGAGAGGCTGTTCACAGCCCTTAGCGAGAGGTGCCACCGTGGGCTGCAGCATCTCTGGGCAGCATGGACAGTCCTCCTGTGTGGGGCTGGTCTCTGTGGAAGGACTGTCCCCCAGCTGTGGGCCATGGCCAACATACAGGTGTGGAGCGCGGCAGTCACATGGGACAAAGATAGGGGAGCATGGAGTCTCCCCGTCTAGGCATGCAAGGGGTACCAGGGGTGCCAGGGCTGGAGAGGAAGTGACCAGAAGAGGCTGCCTGGATATGACTGAGGAAAGTATGGCTTGGGAGAAGAGTGCACAGCTGAGGCAGAAGTGGGGTCACGGGGCCAGGACGCATCATCCTGTGAGGAGAGATGGCCCCAAGGAGGGTGGCAGAGGGGCTGCGACATGGGAGGGTCAGCCCTGCAGGCTCCTGGGAGTTGGCTTGTTTTGCCTTGCGGTGCAGGCTCCTCGAGGATGGACAGTCCCAAACGGGGCCGTGTCCTACAGCGCCAGGCACCAGGCAGGAGGAGGACCCAAATGAGGACATGGACCTGGTATGCCTTTACACTTGAGGAAGCACAAAGTCCCTAAAAGTGTCTACAAGTTGAGTTTCAATAAGGAACAAATCACAACTTCTTTTTCCCCCTTAAATATTTATTTGCAAGGCAGGGAGATTGAGCACAAGGGCGAGCTTCCATCTGCTGGTTCACTCTCCAAATGGCCACCACAGCCGGGTCAAAGCCAAGAGCCAGGAGCTCCATCCAGGTCTCCCCGAGGCTGGCAGGGCTCCGAGGACTACAGCCATATTTCTCTGCTCCCAGGACATTTACAGAAAGGTGGATCAGAAGTGCAGTAGCCTGGACTCCAACTGCTGCTGTGCCAGGAGATGCTGTTGTCCTAAGCAGCGCTTAACCCACTGCCTCCCACCCCCTGCCCCAGGTAGCACAATCTAAACTTCCTCCAGTTTCTCAGCAGCTTGGGCATCCTGGTGTCTAACTGGGTGGCCCCTCTCCAGAGGACAAGACCTGGTGGGTGGGCTGCAGTGCTGGGCAGTGTGGGCCCTCATGCCCAGCTGCCCCGGAACACCTGTGTGACCAGCCCTTCATGTTGCTTGGCCAGGGTGTGCCCACCAGCCTGGATAGCCTAGCTCAGTCCTGGGCCCTTGGAGCTCTGCTGGTCCTGCCCACTCCCTGCTGAGGGCACCTCTGCCCACAGGGAGCATTATGGCTCCCCTATCTGGTGCCCAGGTGGGTCTGAGCTACTGGTGGCTGAGGTCAGGCCCAGCTCATCTCATCCCCAGAGTCTGGGTAGGGCTCAGGCATTCTGGGATCCAGGAATGCTCAACTGGGAGTGGAAGTAAGGTGGCTGGACCATAGGCCATGTGGCGGAAGCCAGGAGAACTCACTTTATTGCCAGCCAGTCTATTCTGCGTACACTGGGGGGGGGGGGGGGGGGGGGGGCAGGAAGGGCAGGGGCAGGGGTCTCTCCCCAGCTGCCTCCACCTCATTCCAGAGGCAGGCTAGAGTGGATACAGGGATGTGTCCACAGATCCTCTCTCCTCCCATGGCCACTCAGGGCCGCTCACAGGACGCAGGGCCCTTCCTTCGCTCCCGACTCAGCAGTGTCACCAGCTTGGCTTTGAAGCCTGCTTGGGTGCCAGGGCGGCCAGGGCCCTCCGCCTCATCTAGTTCCAGCTCCAGCAGTCGGCGGTACTGGGCCTCCAGGCTGACGTCCTGGGTTGGGCTGGGCCAGCTTAGGTCTTCGCTGTTATGATAGATGGAGCTGGCTGAGGGGCTACTAATGCTGGGGACCTCATCCGGCAGCCCAGGGCCAGCTTCCAGTGCACAGACGTTTTCATAGAGGTGTTCCACGGTACCCTGGAACCCACTTGCTTGCTTGCACACTGAAGCATACAGCACAGAGGCCGGGTCCTCGGGCTCCGGGCCCAGTAACAGTGGCAGGCTCTGGGGCCCAGGGTCGGCCATGTGAGCACTCCTGGAGGAGGGAAGCTTGGGTCCTGGCAGCATCTCCCGAAGCTCTCCAGGGGCATCCAACGCGGGCAGGGAGGTAGCCCTGGGCAGGGGGCAAGGCTGGGGCCTGGCCAGCTCTGGCAGCCGGTCCCGCTGGCGGGCAATGGCAGCGGCCACAGCCTTACACAGGTCAGGGGCACGCGGGCTGCTGAAGGCAAAGAGGCCCTCCCCGGAGTTGCAGCGGCGGCCGGCCTCGAAGGAGAATATACCCTGGGTGCAGGTGACACATTGGGGTAGTCAGCAGCTGCACGCCGGGTGGCCACCCGTCCCCTCCCCTGTAGCTTACCTTGTCGGAGCCGAATTTGCGCAGGAAGCGGTAAGGCCAGCTGTAGAGCACCTGAGGACTGGAAGCTCCTTTCAGCTGGATGGCGTCTTGGCCCAGCACCATGAGGTAGGAGCCCTGCAGCTGGCAGCGGGCAGCAGCCTCGCTTCTCTGCACCAACACTGGAAACTCGTCCACTGGAGGCAGGCGGCCAGGGTACCCTGTCAGTGCCTGCAGAGGCTCGGCCCGGGGTGCACAGGGCTGCGGCCTGCCCCTTCCCCCTCCTCCCCTGCTCCTGCCTTACCTTCCTGCCAGGAGGAGTAAATGGCGTTTTCCTCCATGGGGACGCTCCCTCCTGTAGGAGACTGGGGCTCCCTGGATCCCAATCCCAACGTGTTCTCAGCCGTGCCCTGGGGTGGGGGCGGGGAGGGAGTGCAGGTCAGCGGAAGTGTCCATTCCACCCACCCTGGGGTCAGGGGCCTGGCCCCGACTTGCCCCATAGGCCCAGGCACCTCTCAGAAACTGTCCCCAAGGAGCAGAGCAGGGCCGGGCCAGCCCATGTGTCTGACACTTGGGTGCAGTGAAGGGATGGAAGTTGCATACAGGAATGCCTGGGAGTAAGGCCCCCACATGCATCCACCTAACTGGCCCTGCCTACAGGCTGCCTGGACCTTGTGTACACGGGCCTGGAGCAGGGGCTTCCAACTCCATCCTCAGCCTCTCCACCATGACCATACCTTGGCCCAAGGGGCTTGGCCAGGCTTAAAGGCTTAAACACCTTCCTCATCAGCCCCCCTGCTCCTGCCCATTTTTCCTTTGGGTAGGCCTCCGCCTGCGATGCTGGCATTCCATGTCAGAGGGCCAGTCGGGTTCTGGCTGCTCCACTTCTGATCCAGCTTCCTTGCTATTGTGCTCTGGAAAGCAGCGAAGGATGGCCCAAGCCCTTGGGTTCCTGCCACACACAGAGGAGGCTCAGATGGAGCCCTAGGTTCCCGGAGTGGGTAGACCCAGCCTTGGCCATTTTAGGAATGAACCAGTGCAGGGTGAATCTGTCTCTCCCTCTTTCAAATAAATTAATTTTTCAAAGAACACACAAAACCGGGGGCCGACTTTGCAGTGTAATGAATAAGACGGCAGCCTGTGATGCTGGCATTCCACATGGACAAGTTTGTCTGGGCTGCTCCGCTTCCAATCCACCTGTTCGCTAATGTGCTCGCAAAAGCAGTGGAGCATGGCTCAAGGGCTTGAACCCTGAACCCACGTGGGAGACCCGGAAGAAGCTCCTGGCTCTGGATCAGCTCAGCTCTGGTTGTTGCGGCCATGTAGGGAGTGAACCAGCAGATGGAAGCTGTCTTTCTCTATGCATAACTCTTTCAAAACAAAAACTTCATAAGCCCCAGGGTTCCCCCTTTTCCTGACAGGTATAACCCAGTGGTTTTCATGCAGCCAGTTCCATCACCTCCCTCCGGTTCCAGCGCAACCTCTCTGTGCTGTGGCAGCCCCGGCGCTGGCCCATGGGCTAACCTGTGAAGCATGCCGACAGCTGGGTGCGTGCACAGCAGGCAGCATCTGTGCCCGGCTCTCCCTAGGCACAGTGTGTTGGGGCTCATGCAGGCCGCAGCCTGGGGCAGGGCTGCTCACACAGCGCCCGTCGTGTGCATGGGCCGTATCCTGCCTGTCTGCTGGTGGCCCTGTGGGTGGCGTGTCCTCCCTGAGGATCTGTGACTCACTGCTGTGAGCACTCATGCGGGAGTCTCAGGTCTTGGTCACCTTGGATATGGACCTAGTGCCGGACCTGCTGGGTCACCTGGTAACTTTGTACTTACCTTCCTGGGGAATGGCCATGCTTGGTTCACTCTGGATTGTCACAGACCCTGTGTGCCCTATGTCTAGTTTAAACCCTCACTCCAAAGACTTATTTCATGCAGAACTGAATCCCAGACTGCCCCTGGTCAGCTGTGGGGTCTTCACTGCCTTCCACCGGTCTCTACCCTGCTTCCTTCTGCTCCCCTCACCACACAGGCCTGCCCCTTGCTCACGTTTTTCCTACCCCAGGGCCTTTGCTCATATGTTCTCATTCACCACCCTTCTAGAGCCTCTGCCAGGTGATTTACTTGTCAATAAGGACCCAGCCCACTGTCCTCTCCTCACATTCCCCCAACAGTCCCAGCACCACCCTCATGCCTCATTTTTTCCTTGGTCCCATGTGTTTCTTGGCTGCTCCTGGCTCCGTAGAGGCTCACACTGTTTGCTGAGTGACAGGGCGTGAGCACGGCGGTGACTAAGCCTGCCCCAGCCACCTGCACTTACCGGGAAGGCCAGCTGGCAGATGGGTGCTATCCATGCCTGGCGATGCTGCGCGGCTAGCAGGTGGCTCCGCTCCGTGGTGGTGAGCAGGAAGGCTTCCGTGTCCCGGGGGCAGCTCTCACCATCGGCTGGCAGCACAGACACGCAGTCGGCCAGGCGGATGACCCGCCGCTCCCCTCGCCGGCCACTGGGCACCGTGGATCTGTCACCTGCCGGCCCCTGGCCACCATCACGGACCTCCCAGCTTTCCAGTCGGGCCACGCCTGATGAGCTTCCTGCGTACAGCAGGGCCCACACCTTTCGCCAGTACTTCTGTGGGAGAGGGGTGCGGCGAGGACCCTGGGTGGTACATCCTCTCCACGTGCCTCCTTGGCTCAGTAAACACCTCTGCCTCCCTCACCCCTTTACTGTGACCGCTCTAAGGAGCTGGGTCACACTCTAGCACTGACCACCTGATCTTTGTGTTGCTCTCCCTGGCCAGGACATGAGAGCCAAGGGCTGGGGTGGGAGGGGAGGCCCCAGCTTCAGGCTGGTAAGGATGGAAACATGCAAATGGCTTTGAGCAAAGGAAGTGACCGTTTATCCACTTGGGTGGTGGCAGCAGTCAGGCGGACCCAAGTGCAGGGTCCGCTGTGGGGATAGGGGAGCCCGTTCTGCAGGTGGAATTCCACCTCGAGGGTCTCCCCCAGCTCAGCTCAGCTGCCCCAGGTCCCTCAAGGGACCTGGGGAACCCTATTCAGGAGCTTGTGCTTCTAGACTTTGCCCCATGCTCGGCTCCCCCATCCCTAATGAGGCAGGATTTAGCCTCAAGCCGCTCGGGCCAAGAACTGAACTATGTCCATTGCCCGTGACCTGCCCCCCACCCTCCCGCTGCCTTCCCATGAGGCCAGGGTGGAGGCTAGGTTCTCTGGCCCCACTAGTCCTGGGCAGCTACCAGGCAGCCAGGGTCGCACCTTGCCGAACTTGACGTGCTGCAGGTAGAGGAGGCCGTCCTTGACAGGGGTCTCCAGGGGCTCCATGGCCACGGTGCAGCCACGGCCTGCGTCCCGAGGAGACTGATGACAGGCAGCAGACTGGACAGGAACTGTTCACACTTCCCCTTCTGGCCACTTCCCCTCCCTCTGTCAGGAGGAGCAGCTGCAGACCAGGGGGAGGGGAGTCCAGCCTTCAGCTAGGGGCTGGCGCACGCACGGCTCCCTAGGGAGTTCTGGCTGGCCCAAGGGACCCCTATCTGTCTGGCAGAAGCCTTGGATCCTCCAAGGGCTGGTGACCCCTGGGTTGTGCCTGGGTCAGCTGGGGACGAGCGACTGACCGCAGGCTGGTGCCCCTGAGTCACGAGCTCTGACCCCTCCCCCAGCTAGGACAGCCCTGCCCCCACCCAAGGATGACGGAGTCCTCCCCGGTTGCTCGCATGTCAGAGACACACAACGTTCCCTTGCCTTTCGGTCCTCAGAGCCCTGCCCGTGGCCAGCACCCCCTAAACCTGCTGTGTGACCTGGGCCCAGGGGGCTCCATCACACCCGTCCCTTTCCTCCCTGTCAGCTCAGCGCTCAGGCCCGTGTGGCCCGTTCTGCCTCCCTTGTTTCCCTGGGGAGCCCTCACTGCCGAGCTGCTGGGACAGAAGCTGCCTCTTCCTCCCGGAGGCCTCCCTGACTTCTCCACACTGCAGGAGAGCACAAAGGACACACAGTGCCCACCCCACACTTTAGGCATCCACTCTGGGCGGCTCCAGCCATGTGCGCAGGAGAGCTGGTCCCTAGGGGCCGCACCTACAGTTCACATGAATGCTTCAGCTTTGCTTCCTGCCGAGGGTGAATTTGTTTTTTGGGGGTTGTGGGGGCGTATCTTGTTCCGTTAATAGCCAGTGGTGCGTCTATGTGGCTTTGCCACTGTGTGGAAGGAAAAGTGCCATTCTGGGGGCGTGTTTGACCGGGACACAGCCCTCCCGGCCCCTGGCTGTGTGCCCAGAGGGGCACAGGCAGCTTTGTGCCCTGGCTGTTTCAGCCTTTTGTGCTCTTGGGGTCACCTCAATGATGAGGAAACCAAGGCTCAGGAAAATGAAGTAACTCGCTCGAGGCCACACGCCAGGCTTGAGCAAGAGCCGTCCTGCCAGGACCAGGGTTAAGGCCTTGCGAACGGAACAGCCTGGTACAACCAAGCCCTTGCTGCCTTGCCAGACCCCGCTGCCTTCCTGGCTCCTTGGCCAGTGGTCTTGGGGTGCTCGCCACACTGCCACGTGTCACAGTCCCCACTCACCTGAACGCAGCCTGGGCAGTCCTCTGGGTCACAGCAGCATGCTGCGACCTGAATGGCAGTGCCATGCCATCGGCCGCCTGCTTGGGGAGCGGAGCCGAGGGCTGCAGACGGGGAGGCTGAGAGGGGACTGACAGCCAGCCATGGTGTCCCTGGCCTGGCCCAAGGAGACACCTTGAGCGCCCCAAGGCCGTGGCTCAGCAGGCTGTGGCTACGGCCCCATGTCCCACACGCGGTGAAATGTGGAGGCAGGTTGGGATGGAGACAGCTTGTGTTTTAATGGCAGCTGGGGTGAAGGGCAACAAAAATAGTGATTCTGGGGGAACAGGGAGCGGCCCAGGCCAGCTGGGCCGAGGACACTGGCTTCCTGTCCCAGGGCCTCTTGCAGAGAAGGTGAGCGGGTAGCTGGCTCAGAAGTCCATGGAGCTGTGGGCCAGGTAGTCCTTGCGGCCAATGTTGCTGACCTGCTTGGTCTGCATGGCCTCCAGTTTGGGGCAGTCAGTGATGCGATGGCCCAGGCCTCCGCAGAAGGCGCAGCCGCGCTCTCCTGAGGGCACGGGGGGAAGGTGAGTGAGGCCCCGGCCCTCAGGCCTGCTGCCCCCCAACCCGAGACCTGTGCCGGCCGCCCCTGAGTCACCTCCGATGTCCAGCATGGACTCGTCTCCGCAGTGCAGCACCTGCAGCACGGGTGGTACCTTCTGCTTGGCTTCCAGCAGCAGGGCTTTGAGGTCCATCAGCACGGATTCATCTGTGGGAAGGGGAGGGGTTGTCTTCAGGCCCCGCGGCCGTGGGGAGAGAGGACTGGGGGTGGGGGGCACGGCTAAGGGAGACTCACCGCAGGCTTTGTTGATGAAGGTGGTGGCGATGCCTGTATTTCCTGAGCGCCCAGTGCGGCCGATCCGGTGTACTGTGGAGAGACAAGCAGAGCTCTGGCCTGCTGCCCTGAGCCCATGGCCGCCCCCGGGGTTCACCACGCCTGCGCTGCCCCTTGGTCACACCGTAGTTCTCAATCTCCTCGGGCATGTCGTAATTGATGACATGCTGGATGGCAGGGAAGTCCAAGCCCTTGGAGGCCACGTCTGTGGCCACGAGGACGTCCTTCTTGCCCTCACGGAAGGCCTCGATGGCCTTCGTGCGTTCCTCCTGGTCTGTGGGGGCAGATGGAGGGTTGCAGACATCAGATTCCTGGGAGGAATCTGGGGCGTGGTCAGGGATTTAGGTGAGGGGTCACCATGGCAACGGGGAAATAATCCATGCCCAAGCATGCACCACCCTGACCTTTGCCCCCGTGGATGGCCACAGCCTCGACCCCCTTGAGTAGCAGGTACTCGTGGATGGCGTCCACGTCGGCCTTCTTCTCCGCAAAGATGAGCACCTGTCCGGGAAGGCCAACCGCTGTCAAGGGCTGGTGCCTCCCACAGGCTGCTCCCCGTCCTCCCCAGCTGGGGAGCACTCACAGGTGGGGGTGTCTTCTGCAGGCACTCAAGCAGGTACACCATCTTGGCCTCCTCCTTCACGTATTCCACCTCCTGTCACCACAGGGGCCGGGTCAACTGGTGAGCCGCTGCTGGGGTTAGGTTTGCGGCCATGCCCCCTGGTGCTGGGCCCTAAGCCGTGTCACCGAAAGGCTGGACACCCTAATAACTTCCCGGGCTAAAGGCCAGGGGCTTCGAACTGACACTCTCGGGAACAGCAGACCTACTCCTCCCTGCAGCCAGCTTCAAAGGAGCCTCGCTCATAGCTCCCGCTGCCCCAGGGGTTGGGGTTAGGGTCCCTTGCCCACCTGGATGACATCCAGGCTGGCGGCCCCGGCGCGGCCAACGTTGATGGTGACAGGCTTCACGAGCGCACTCTTGGCAAAGTTCTGAATCTTCTTGGGCATGGTGGCACTGAAGAGGAGTGTCTGCCGCTGGCCCTGAGACGGGGGACGGTGGCGCTGGGTAAGCCGGCACCGGAAGCAGGGCAGAGTGGACCAGGGCTGGGCTCGGGGTCCCCGCTGGTTGGACAGTGTGTGTCAGGGGACAGGGGCACAGGAGTACCCTGGCTAGGCAGGGGTGGGCACCTTGAAGTAGGAGAAGATGGTACGGATGTCACCCTCAAAGCCCATGTCGATCATGCGGTCGGCCTCGTCCAGGGCCAGGTAGCGACAGATGTCCAGGCTGACCATCTTCTTCTGCAGCAAATCCATGAGGCGCCCAGGCGTGGCCACCATCATGTGCACGCCACTGGGGATCGCAGAGGGACCCTGAGTTCCGAGCCACCTACTGAGGGGCCACGCTGGCCTGCCCTGCCTGCAGGCCTCACCCACATCTCCCTTCCTCGTTTCTACCTAACGCACACAAGCAGTTCTCTCTTGCAGTGGCTGCAGCCTCTAGCTTTCGTCCAGCAGATCCTCCCTGTCCCTGCTCCTCTGTCCCGTACACTCCTCTGTCCTGGAGACTGCCCCAAATTCCCCTCTGGCTGCCCATACTCCTGGGACCATTCATGTTTCCTGTAACCTGCACCTTTCTGGGGACTGGCAATGCCTTGGGCAGAGGGGTACATCTGGCCCGCCTGTGACGCTAGGGCCTGGTTTCGAGCACATGCTAAGGTCTGACCTGTGTGGAAAGGGATCCTGCCCTGCACCAGAACCTTCCTTCCTGGACAGCCCACACAGGATGACCCTGACCTTCCTGGCTGCTCAGGGCCCTTCACAGTTATGTCATCTGCCTCAGCCACCCTTCTTCAGCATTCTGGAGTCGCTGCTCCTGGAAAGCCTGATCTGACCTCATGTTGTCCCCTGGCAGGATGGGCTGCTCGTCCTCTGTACCCCAACAGCGTCAGGCCACACCTCTGTCCCAAGTGGCAGCCCTAGGAGGCTGGGAGTCCCTGGGGGCTGAGAGTGTACAGTGGCTAAACACAAAAGGGGGGACCCTGGGGAGGGCTGGACTGGGGGTCCTCACTGTCGGATGGTCTCCATCTGTTCCTTGACAGACATGCCTCCGATGCAGAGGGCACAGCGCAGGAGCGGTGAGCTGTCCTCCTGCAGCAAGCGGCAGTAATACTCCAGGATGCCGTGGGTCTGCCGGGCCAGCTCCCGCTGCAAGTGTGACAGGAGGTGGCGTTGGCTTCTGTCCTGGCCCTGCCCCTCGTCCCTACCCGGCTCTCACCCCTTGCCAGGTCCTGGCCCCCCCTCTTGCCCAAGCCCCCCCCCCAACTTACTGAGGGGCAGATGATGAGCCCGTAGGGCCCCTCGCGCTTGGAGAAAGGTAATCTCTTCTCCTGCTCCAGGCAGAACATGATGACGGGCAGGGTGAAGACCAGCGTCTTGCCTGAGCCCGTGAAGGCGATGCCTATCATGTCACGGCCGGAGAGGCTGTGGCGGGAGGACAGTGTGCGGGGTCAGGCACGTCGGGGCGCAGGAACCCTCCTCCCCACCGCTGCTGCCCGCAGCCCACACTCACATGGTAGGGATGCCCTGGATCTGAATGGGCGTGGGGTGATGGATGCCCTTTTTCTTCAGGCCCCTCAGGATGGCTACGGAAGACAGGGCGGGCTTCACTCTCGTGTCCTGGCCACTGTCCCCACCCTCGGCCGGGGCCAGGAGGACACAGCTGCATGACCCACAGCTCAGGCTCGGGCCCGGCGTGGGCCTGGCAGTGATCCCTGCCACGGCTGCTGCCGAGTACCTGCAGGAAACTTCATCTCCTTGAAGCTCTTGATGGGCGGCGGGATGCCTTCTCCCTCCACCAGGATGTGGTACTTCTTCCGCACCCGCTCGTGTCGCTCTTCCGACATGCTCAAGACGTAGCGCGGTGGCGTCCAGCTATGCGTGAGGGGCAGGGGTCACCCGAAGCCCTGGATGCACAGCCGGCCACCCCGCCCCCTCAAAAAGGGCCACCGAGTCGACACACCTGGTTTTGATTGGGTCATCGTAGGTGATACCCTTGGCCATTTCCTTCACCGACATCAGTGCTGAAGGCAGACGCGTGGTTCAGGGCTGGCTCCTGACTCCAGGAATCCAGACCCCTGGACGGTCCCCAGGCCCGGGGATGGGGGACCAGGGGGAGCACGGAGACCCCGGCCGCCGCCCTACCTCGGCCCTCGGCCACGCTCTCCAGGATCTTCTCTTCCTCCTTCAGCTGCTTCTCCTTGGCCGACTCCTTGCGGGCTGAGGGGAGAAGCAGAGCAGACGTCAGACAGACACCACACGGCGGTGTGTCCCTGGCTTGGTTCCCGCGCCTGCCCAGCCCACGCCCACCTTCGGCTTTCTCCTTGAGGTGCTGGTGCTGGTCCAGCAGGCTGACGTTGGACTGCGGGCCCAGCGGGATGTCGTCCTCGTCGGCCCGGGGCTCGCTGCCGCTGTCCTGCTGCTCCTCGTCCGCAGCCCCCTTGCGTCTCCGCTGCAGCAGCTTCTGCAGCTGAAGTCCCCGCCCGCGCCCGGAGCGTCAGGCCCACGACCGAGGTGCCCTGGCTCCCGGCCGAGGACCCCTGTCCACTCCGACCCGGCGGTCACTCCCCGCGGCCCCCTCACCAGCAGCTGCCGGCGCTGCCGCAGCGGCACATAGGGCACGTAGTCCTCGTCGTCCTCCTCCGCCTCGGAATGGCTGCCTCCGGCATTGGCCTCGTCGGTGCGAGCGCGCTGCACACACACACACACACACCCGTCAGGCCGGACCCCGCCGCCTCCCGCTCCCGACCCGCGCGGCCCGCAGCCCCGCGCCCACCTTCCGCTCGGGCTCCGACTCCTCCATCCTGCGGCTGCACGCATGCGCGCTCCCCGCGAAGCCGCGCCCGTCCGTTCAGCGAGACCCAATCGGAGGCGAAGACGCGGACGTCGGCGCCTAGCAACGGCTCCGGCATGCCGGGTCGCGCCGAGGGCCAAACTTCCTCGAGTGGCTGTCGTGAGGCGCGGCGTAGGCTGCAGTGAGCGAGGGACTGACCACGCGGCGGCCACACGAGGCCTTTGGGACTGCAGCATGCACTAAAGGCTCAAACCCAACCGGCTGCCGGAGCAAGGCTCCGAATGCAGACCGCGGCTCCCCGGCCTAGCCGCCGGGCAGTGCAGGACCGGCCGAGCGTCGTGGGTGGGTAAGGGGGTCCCTGGGGATCTTAGGATGCCCTGGGTCTGAGCTTCCCAGACGCGTGCAGGAGCAAATGCAGAGCCCGCAGGGAGCAGATGGCTGCGATTGGCTGGAGCGTGCACCGGAGGCCCATGTTGTGTGTTGGGCAGTGTGTGGTCCCGGGATAACTGGTCTTGCTGGAGGCCGAGCTGAAACACGGCAAGGCAGGCAAGGGCCAAGTGATGCCGTTTCCACTGTGGCCTTTCAGCTGGGATGTGCCGAAAGCAGGGCTTTCTCAAAGGGGCTGGGCTGCCTGGGGTTGCCTGGCAGGGCGGGCATGGCAGCACTGCAGAGGGGCCTGAGCACAGAGCCTGCCCCTCCAGGCCGTGTCCTCTCTGTAGGTCTGTGGGTTGCTCCATCAGAGCTGCACCTTCTGAGGAAGGAAGCCGGGTTTGATGGTGGTGCCAGCTGAGCCGCAGGGCAGGGTGCTGAGAGGAGAGGAACGTGGCTTCCCAGGACAGCAGCCACCTGGCCCCTGGAGGAGGGCAGGCAGGCATGCACACACAGGGCTCCCAGAAGGGCCTTCCCCATGGAAACTAAGAATTGGTTTAATGTGAGGAGGCACTGTAAACCACTGTGTTAGAATTTGAATGCACAAACCTAATTCCTTGAGGGGCTGAGGTGGGTTGTTTCAGAGTGACCGAGGGCTCCGCGTCCTGTTAGCTTACACTGAGGGTCCTCCACTGTCTAGGCTACAGCCACACTGAACGTAAAGGGCCTCGGGTGGCCAGATGCCCGGAGACCAAGTCCAAAGCCTCCAATCTAGCAGCCTTGCAGGGGAGTGTGTGACAGCAGGGGAAGGGGCTGCCCCATTAAGGTCCTCCCAGCAGCACGCAAGGGACTGCTGCAAGTCCCGCAGGCCATGCTCAACCTCGGTCGGCCAGCCCTGCTTCACTCATTTTCCCATATTCCCTAAGATGGTTAACGGTCTGCTCCGGGGCCGAGAGCCGTGGGCAAGGCCAGGGACCAGCTGTGACGATGGGCAGGACCTGCTCAGGAGGGCTGGTGACCACGCGGAGCTGATGCTCCAGCTGCCTCCCCTGGCCTGCTCCCTGCCCAGCCCAGCCAATCACCAAACACACCGACTCCATGTCCAAATGTTGCTTTATCTTTCACCATGAAAGATCTTCACAGTATCAAAAGAATTGAAAAAGAACAAAAGATTAAAAACAAATAAAAATAAAACAACCAAAAAACAGAGAAAGCAGTGTTGGGCCAGCTGTACCATCAGCCCCCTGCCCCAGGCCAGCCCAGCCCCCCGGGGGCGAAGTGTGGAGGCTGCATAGCACCAGGAAGTGGCGGCCCAGGCCCTCAGGGCCCCTGAGCACAGCACCACCTCCGTTCAGCTTTGGGTCGGTCCAGGTCGAGGGTGGCGCAGAGGGCGAAGCCGCAGCCCTTAGCTGGCAGTCAGGACGCCTTGAGGCAGTTCAGTCTGGAAGGCCTGGGAAGGAATGAGTAGTGAGCAGGATTGTCCTTGGTCATGCCTGGCAGAAGATGAGGGTTCATAATGTGGCCTGGGGTTCAGTCAGCAGGCAGGCCAGTCCTTGGGGACCCCAAGCCAGGGCTGTGGACCGGACGGGAGGCAGGCCCTGCAAGTCCCCTGAGCTCCACCCCTCACCCACTTCAGGGCTCTCTGTCTCGTCTGCAGGAGCAGAGGGTCAAAGGAGAGCCCTCTGTGGAGGGTAGGGGCCAAGGGACACCTCTTATCTTGAACGGAAGACTAGAGGGACAGACTGGGAGGACTGAGGTGCAACCCTTGTTCTCTCAGCATGAATAACGGGTGAAACCCCCAGGATCCCTGTTCCTCCTGGTTCCGGTGGAAAAGAGAAATGGGAATGGGGCACGCTGGTCCTGAAAGACAGGCCTGGGGGTGTGAATGCCTCAGACTGGCAAAACTTGAGAACAGTCTGGCCCTCTTGCAGGCAGAGCACAGCCCTGACTTCTGGCCAGCACCCATGGGCCCCAGGGAGCCCAGCCCTGAAGGCTCTGGGGGCTTCTCTGGAGAGCTGGGGCCCAGGAGGTCAGCTGGAAGAACAGAATGGCAGACACCCTTGGGTGCACGGGTGGTGTCATTGACCTCAGGGCAGCCGTGTGGTTGCCAGCTGACCTGAGCCCAGGGACATAGCTCCACGGAGGCCTGGTCTGGAGCCAGTCGCTAGGCCCCAGGCCCAGCACCCCGGCCTGTGGCACAATGCCCTCTCTGCCTCCCTGCTTCCAGTGCAGAGTGTCCCCTGTGGACCCCCACAGTGGCTGGGAGGGAGGTCAGGGTCATCTGAGGCTGGAGCTCTGCTTCTCAGAAGCTATCAGCTTCTTCCTCTCTGGAGTGCATCCTTCTGGGAAGTCCCGACTAACTCTTCCAAGCTTTAGTGACCCTAACAGGACCCTGGCTCAGCCTGTGTGCCACGCTCACTGCTCTCCTGGGGCGGACATCTTCCTAGCTGCTTCAGCTAACAAGTAAAGGGTGACCTTCAGCGGAGCCAGACCAGCAGGGCAAGAGGATTCAAGCCCAAGGCTGGAGACTATCAGGGCAGGCCCATGGGCTCACTGCTGCCTGGGACCTTTGGGTGAACAAGGTGGGATGGCAGGGTGGGGAGCTCAGAGAGGATGAGTCCTGGGGAAAGTGAGGGGGTTACAGAAGGGGCCCTCTGGAGGCTGTGCAGCCGCTGTGGCACACAGGGGCTGTCCTCCCATCCCCGGGCCCTGAGCAGAGAGGGCTGGCTGCAGGGAGAGGGTACACGAGGCCCTACCTCACTGAGCTGCACTGGGACTGCTCTTCTTGAGGCTGAAGTTGGTCCAGTTCACAGCAACTTTCTGACGGGTCTGCTTTGCAGAATCCAAACAGAACCTGTTGGGTTGGGAAGATGCTCATCAGAGGGTCCCTGTTGTGCTCACCAGACCTCCTCTCTGGACCTCAAGTGTCCTGCTCTCTAAGATCCTGGGCTGGCCCCGCAGCAGCTCTGGCTCCCAGGGCAGGCAGGCCCGAGGGCTGCCCTGTGCCAGCCTTGGAGCTGCCTGTGCCTCTTTCACCTTCAAAGCTTCAGCCATGCAGTCCTGCTGTCACAAGTAAATGTTCTGTTACTACTCAGCTCCTACTCTCCAAGGCCTGCCCTGCCTCCAGCTTGGTAGTCTTCCCATCCACCCGCCTCACCGCCCCTCGGGGCCTCCATCTCTGGGTTCTCTTCCATCCGGACTGTCCCCACAGATCAGCAAAGGCATGGCACACAAGAACAAGTGAATAATGCTGGACAAAGCCCTGCTCTAGGGGCCTGCCATGTCTCCTCTGTCCTATTCCTTGCCCTGTTCCCACATGCCCCATCCCACCAAGTAGCTCCTCCAGCCTCTGGTGACAGGACAGCTGGCAGAGGGACTGGAGACGCGGGAAGCAGGGCCGGGTGGTGCCACACCTACCTCTTGAAGTACTCCACCTCGCGGTCAGTCTCGTCCATCTCTACCCCGTCTGTGTCTTTGGGCAGGAACACGTCGTCTAGGAAGACACAGCCAGGGGGCTCAGTGCCCGCGGCCTGGCTCCTGGGGGGAGTGCTGCCCACATGCCAGGACTACCCTCCACCCCACGGCCTGGCTTCGGTGGGGGGAGTCAGCCACTGGGTTCCTGCTGCACTCACCCAAGGAGGAGGCCGACTTTTCCTGCTTGTGGCGGCTCCGGCGGCTGCGGCCCTTGCCCTGGGGTAAGCTCTGCGGCCGTGCTGGGCCTGGGGGCTGCACAGACTCCTGCTCTGGAGGCCGCGCCTTGGCCTCGCTGGGCCAGTTCCGCCAGGAGCTGCCCTTCTCCTTGTCAGTTTTGGGGTTGCTGGCCCAGCTTGGTGCTGGCCTGCTCCCCCGGCTCCCCTCTCCAGCCTCGGCACAGCTGCCCACTTTGGGAGGTTCTGGGCCCTTGGCTGGCTGCCGGGGGCCAGGGGTCTGGCCTTTGGCACTGGGCGCCTCGAGGTTGGCTGGGGCTCGGGGGGCTGTGGTCACCTCGCTCTTCTTGGCCTGACTGCCCTGCCTCTTGCCCTTCCGTGACTTCCCACCTGTGGCCACAGGCTCGGGCAGCTCCTGCTTGCTGGAGGGGACCTCTTTTGGGCTGGGTTCCTCGGGGCCAGGTTGGCCTGACTTAGGGGTCTCGACCCAGATCACCCGGGAGAGGTTGGGCACGGTGCTGAGCCTCCTCACCAACCCGTTCTCGGGGCTGATGCCGGGAGGGGGACCCCTCACCTCAGTCCAGGGTGGGTGTGGGCCTCTCATTTCTGCCCATGGTGGGGCTGGCTCGCCTGGAGCTTGTAACGTGTGATTCTGGGCAGAGCCCAAAGTCAAGGGGGAAAGGTCAAGGTTGATGTCAGGCTGTTGTTCTGAGGAGCCATTGAGGTTCAAGGAGGGCAGGCTCTGGGGCTCGGGCTCCACAGCCTCGTCCTTAGGGAAACCGTTGCTGTCCTTGCCGAGCTCACACACGCTGAAGCTGGCACGGATGGAGTCCTTGACGGTGTGCTTGATCTCCTGCAGCCGGCTGCTCAGGAAGCTGTTGACCCGCTCCAGTTCCCGGTCGGGCCACTCCAAAAGCCTTTCTCTGGCAGGCCTCGGCTCCCGGTTTCCAGAAACACGAGTCGCCTGCTTGAGGGCATCTGCTGCCAACTGGGCCTTCTCCTTTTCCTGCCAATACAAGGGGTGGTCTCAGCAGGGGCCTGTGGGCTGCCAGGTGCAATGTGAAGCCTGGCCCAGCTGTGCCACTTGCTGGAGTGGAGGCAGGGCCTCACGGGCTTGTTCTGCTTGCCACCCTGTGGGAACGAGGAAATAAGAGAAGGACAACCACAGAGGCCCATGGCTGAGGTGTGGGCACGGGCACACCACACAGAGCAGCATGACTTCAGCAGGCAAAGCTTGCGCCCCCCGGGGCCTGGGTTCGGGCCTGATGCCTGAGGAGGTGAGGACACCCAGGGGTGCTACCTGCCAGGCCTGAGCTTGTGGGAACTCCATCCATGCCCTTGCTAGCTCACTGGCTCTCAGAGATTTCTCTGCAAAATGGGGGCAACCATCTGGGATAGAAGACCAAAGCAGGTGTGGGTAAGGGGAGATGGCTCTCACAGGGGCATTCCCTCCCAATCTGCAGAGTAGGGGATCAAAGCCAGGAGCCCCTAAAGGTCTCAGATGGCGCTGCAAGGCTGTCATGGCAGGTGACACTGCCCTAGTGGCTCTAAATGCGGGCGATAGCAAGGAGGGTGACCTGCTTGCCGAAATGTCATTCACTTCTCAGTTAGCCTCAAGGGACCTAGGCCAGGCCTAAAGTGTGCCCATTGGTGTCCCATAGATGCCACATGGGGCCATCACGGCTAGAGGTGAAGACCAGGAGGCTTGGAGGGGTCAGGGTCAAAATTATAAGTCTATGGGTGTCAAGCCAGCCCAGCATTCTGCCTCAATGCTGGGCACCAGCAGGCCAGCAGGGCCTTCAGCAAACGGGTGAAGAGCCCTCAGGAAGGAGCTGAGCTGGTGCTGTTGCAGGTGCTGGTTCCAGGTGCTCTGGGGATGGAGGGAAAGGAACAGGAGAAGGAAAGTGGGAACAGAAAAGGCAGCGTGCATCCACTTCAGCGTCAGCTCGCAGCACGTGAGCCTGGGCCCAGCAGCCTGGCTTATCTTCTCTCAGCTCCTCTCACTGCTGGCTTGGCAATGGATTTGGACAATCATTTCCTTTGTGGGAACCTTGCTGTGTGTCATCCAGTGAGGAAAAGGGGTCCTCCCTGCAGGACGGGACCCGTCCCTTTCCCTGCACTCAAGGGTGGGCCTCGACACAGGGAGCCCTTGGGAGGCAGCTTGACTGGGAACTGTGCCCGCAGCTGTGCATAGAGTGTTGGGGCCCTGTGCCCCACCCTCCCTGCCCCCCATGGAAAATCTTATTCCAAGAAAGCAATCTTGCCACTAAACTACAGAGTCTGAAGAATACCGCTGTGGAGGCAATGGCGTGGAACCACATACACTTTGGTGGCAAGAGCAGAAAGCACAAGAAATACCCATTTGCTGCCCACAGTGAGCTGGCACTCCCCACATGCTGGTCCATGAGTCCTCACAACCACCCTGCTACAGTACCATCCTCAACTCTCAGAGGAGGAATCCTGACTCCGCAAAGGTGAAAGAACTGGCTCAAGGGTATATGGTTAGTAAGTGGCAGAGTTGGCTGCACGCTTCAAGTTCCTCATGTGACCATCATGTCTGAGAGACGGGGCTAGGCTCTGGTGGCCCTGCCAGGCAGGAGACACATCTCTACACCACTGGCTGGTCCTCTGGGGTGACAGACTTGCCAACAGGCAGCCTAACTCAGAGGAGTTGCTCCTAACCCAGCCGAGGTCACCACGGAGTGCTTCCTGGTAAAAGCTACCCTGAGCACTTTCCAGACACAAGATAGCAAGCAGGAGGTCTGGGAACTGCAACAGCACAACAGCATCAGGGAAAGCAAACCATGTGGCGATGTGGCTTGGGCTCAGATGTTCAGGGAAGGCCAGAGAGGAGGGGTTGAGAGGTGAGGCTGGTGAGCTGGGCAGGGATTGGCCCACGGAGAATCCTGCAGGCTACGCTGGCCTCTGGTGTGACCCCAGGTGATGCTTGGCTACTCAAGGTTTTTACGGTGGCGACTTGGGGAGAAAAGGGTGGGTTGGAGCTATTGGGGAGGCAGCAGGGGTAGGACTTGGTGCTGGTTGGGAGAAAGTGGAGACAGTCCAGAAACCAGCACTGCCAACCACTGTAGCTGCTCTAGCCCCTGCCCGAGCACATCTGTGTGCCAGGCACTCTGCCTAGCCTGCCCCTATGCCACCCCTCTCGTGTTCGCAACCACCCATGACCCAGGTGCTACTGCCATTCTCATTTCATGGATGATGAAACCGAGGCTTAGAGGTTAAATGATTGCCCAAGGTCATAGAGCAAGTGCAGCAGAGCCGGGCTTCAAGTGGAGGCCCTGTTTCAGGGCCCGCTGCTCTCGGATGTGACGAGGTGCTCCCCAGGGCGCTGTCCAGGGCCCAGGTTCCTGTGACAGAGGGTGCTAGTGACTGAACAGGTAAGGAAAGGACATGCCTCTTCCTTGCCAGGAGACAGGCTTGCTGCAGGATGTGCAGTCTGAGGTACCTGTGGAACACCTGCCAGGAGATGTCTACCTGAAGCAGACGGGAAACCACCTGGAGGACCTCTCCTCCCCAGGAGGAGACCTGCTCAAGGGGAGTCGGGGAGGGGCAGTGGAATCCCTCACAGAGAGGCAGAAAATCAGTAAGAGGCAGGGGAGCTATCTAGAGAGCTGGCACACCTATTTCCCTGGCCCTGGGAGGAGCTAAGACAAGGAGAGAGAGAAAAGACAAGATGCCAAAGGTTGCATGGGGGGCAAATGAGATGGAGCTGCCTGTGTGTAGAGCACCTGCCATGAGAGGACAAGGTGGCAAGTGAAGAAGTGAATGAGAAGGTCTTTAAAGAAATGTGACTGTGAAGGAACCAGGCCAGGGCCTGGTGGGAAGTGTGTGTGTGTGTGTGTGTGGTGGGGATGTCAAGGACAGGTTCCTTTACTACAGTGTGTGCACTGCTTCTCCTTGTGAGACCGAGTGAGGCCCTTTGTCAGAGCTTAAGGGAGGATTGGGGAAGGGCTGCAGGTTTGAGAAGGGAGGTGTGATAGGCTGTGGGGACAGACACTGATGAGAGAGAGCGAGGAGAGTCGGGGGCAACACAAGGTTGGACAGGCAGGGCACAAGCCTGTGCGAGACCACAGACTGTATCCTGTGCTTCCCTGTGGTGTGGCCGAAGGTCAATGGTAAGACAGGAGGCTAGGCCATGAGGCGAGAGACCAAGACTGGAACTTGGATGACAAGGCTGAAGATGCTTGGCTTCCTCCATCTCCTGGGGCAGGAGTAGCCTTCCCTGGCCGGTTACAACAGAGCCATCCTTGGTGGACAGCAGGAAGTCACTGGGTCTGGTGGGTGCAGGGGTCTCGGGGAGGACACGGCTGTCACTAGGCAGACAGGGCCCACCACTGCCCCTCAGTGACACACCCAGGTCTGCCTCCCTGCAACCCCCCCAACCTCTGAACTGAGCCTGGCTGAGGCAGGAGCGCATGGCCAATGGCAACTTAGACAGGTATGTGAGGTGTTGGGGCAGCACAATGGAGGGTGGTACCCCAGGAAGTCTGCGAAAGTCCAGATATCTACACTGAGCTTAGGAAGAAAGGTTGTTGGGCGGCAGAGGAGAGAGAAGACATCATCCTGGTAAAGCTTGGTGAACCCTATGGAGGGCCAGGAGCTGCTTTCGGGGAGACCAGTGTGGGAAGGGGCCAGGACAGGGCATAGGGACCATCATAGCCCACTACAGTGTCTCCAGCTGTGAGCAGGAAAAGTACTGGCCATTTCCTGAAGGCAGCAGGGCCATAGTGGCTCACTGTTTCAGGCTGCAGAAGGATCCCAGTTGTCCTTTGGGCTGGAAAAAGTCAGAATCACCCCTGCTAACCCAGGGTACTAGGGCCTCCAGAGCACTCCAGACCTGGAAGCGGCCGCCTGTAAAGATCTTTTAGGCACTGGGCTCCCAAGTGTGGCACTGCTGGGCACAGGAAGGTGAAGAGGTAGCAAAGCCACAGGGGACAGGTCACAGGCCCTGGCTTCCTCACGCCTCAGGCTCCCAGAATAGCTCACTAACTTCTATCTCAGCCCAGAGGACAAGATCATTCCCATGGCTTCAATTACATCTGTGCTGGCAACTCATCTCGCGGCCTCTCCAGCTGCACCTGCATGTCTCGGGGGAGCCTCCAAGCCAGTGTGGCCCCATAGAATTTCACGGTCTCCCGCAAACCCCATTCTGGCTCAGGGGAATGCCCCACCATTTTGCTGGTCACCATGTAAATTCCCGGGTGGCATCCCCGACTCCACCTCCTGTCCGCCATCACAGCACAAGGCCTGTCATTTTTAGCTTCCTCTGGGAAAAACAAAAACAAAAACCAAACACCCAAACTTCCTCTTCTGCTGTGGTTCTGCTCTCAGGTCTCCCTTCTCTGGGCTATCATTTCCTGTCTGAGGTATCAAACCCTGAAGGTTTTCCTAAGTGTGTGTGTGGGGGGGGGGGGGGGGGGGGCGGTTTTGTGGCATATGAGCTTAAGCTGCTGCTTGCAGAGCCGGTTTCTCAACGGGTGCCAGTTCAAGTGCAGCTGGCTGCTCCGCTTCTAATTTACCTTCTTGCTAATGTGCCTGTGAAGTCAGTGGGAGACCAGCAGCACGTCAGGTCCTCCCCCCCAAGCCTTTGAGGCCATTTGCAAAGTGAACCAGCAAATGAAAGATCAGTCCCTCTCTCTGTAACTCCACCTTTAAAAATAAATAAATGAATTTTGAAACAAAACAAATAAAAACACAAAAGCTTTTCTTCCCTAGAGTATCATCCCCCCAGTCTATTTCTGCCCTTGTGTCGGAACACAGCCCTGACCAAGTGCAGCCATTTGTGAGAACAGGCCTTGACTTCTCTTCACTCTTCTAGCAGGGCCAACAGGGCCTCTCCCCTCCCAGCCCGAGTCCTGCCTCTTTGCTGGTTTAGATGGGGACTTGCTGCACCCTCATCCTGGCACTTGTCCAGTTTCATGTCAGCATTACTGGCTCACTGGACTGAGTTTCTCCTAGGTGAGAACTTTACATTTGGGCTTCCAGCATCTGTGCACCTGTTTGCCAATTAAATAACCGGTTGACTGAAACAAGTCCTCGGCTTGGAGGAATCCAGCCAGCAGCTTCAGAGACGAGCTCCCTGACCCTGAAGCCTCCCAAACTCAGTCCGTCCCAGAGCAGTAAGCTGGGCTAAGGCTGTGGACAGCAGTACCATTCATGCCCCGGTGATCTTGGGGGTTGGGGCAGAGGATTCCTCGGGGAGGACAGGAGGTTGAGCTGAGCTCCCCCCACACCCACCTTCTTCTTCAGCTTGTGCCGGGCCCGCTTGGCGGCCCTGGCGCTGTTGGGGACTTTGGGCTCCGTGCTGTTGATGAATTCCAGCAGCTCATCCACATCTCGGTGGTCCACGGCGGGCTCCCCAGGGATCCCGCCCAGGGCAACCCCCTTCATGGGCAGCTCCTCTTTCCGCCTGGTCAGCCTCGAGCGGAGCTTCTCCCGGATCTCGGTATAATTCCGACTCGTCGGGGCAGCGGGTGGCTGGGGGAGGGGGAGGGGCCGACATTACACCCCGGGCCTTCCGGCCTGTAGCACTCCCACCCACTGGCACCAAGTATGCACAGAGGAGCGAGACGCCTGTTCTACCATCAGCCACACGGTTCCATCCTTGGCCAGGGCACCAGCCAAGGTGGCAAGTGGGTGATGGGTGTGGGAGGGAGCAGGGCAGAGTTTGGGCAAACCTGGCCTGGGGAGCCAGGGAAGCAGGTTTGAGCCTGGGCTTATCACTGGGAGCTGTATGACCTTGGGCGGGTCACCGAGTCTCTGTGAGCCTCAGATTCCATCATCTCTAAAATGAGGATAAACAATAACACCTCGCTCAAAGGGGACCAGCAACCCCATCACTTTGACTTCTCTCCTCAGACTGTTCTGCCCTAGCTGGCAGCCCTTTCCTTTTCACTTTCCCAGGCTTCTGTGTCACTTCCTTTCCCCCACCCGGCCAGAGGCAGCACTGTTCTGGGCTGAGCCTCCCAGCGCTGGCTGCGTCCCTGGGCTGGCCCTCAACTGGCTGCCACGCTCGGGGAAGTGGGAGGCCTTCCACTCCGCCTCCATCACGCACAAGCGTTCCCTTCTCTGCGATTGTACACGTATACATACTCATCAGAATCATAGCTGGCTTTCTGCCACCTCCTTTCCTTTTGCCTAAGGAAAAAAAGTCAGTCTTAAGAGAAACCACGAGAAGAATAAAGGCAGCAGAAATGTTCAAACCCCCGACCTCAAAACTCTACTGTGGGGCTCAAGCAAGCGGACGCAGTGTGAGGACCCATGGCGGGAGGTCCCAGGGTGGTGAGGTTCCCCGTGAGCAAGGGAGGGCTTCTTGGGCAGAGCTGGGTGTTCCTTTTGCTCACCTTGGCTGGCCCCCAGCCCTCTGTGGCCCCGGGCAGGCGCACTCACCGCGTTGTGGCCGAAGAACTCACAGTAGCAACAATCACAGAATTTCCCATCTCTCTGGTGCGTGGAGGACGAAGCGCAGGAGCTTCGCTCGGAGCTGCTATCCTCTTCCTCGCCCAGTCCCTCGTCTGCCTCACACGGCTGAGGCAGCTGGCAGGCCAGGCCACTGTGTGCAAATTTGTGCCCCTTGCACCCTGGGTCCCTGCTAGTGGGGAGAAAGGGCCAGAGGTGAGACAGGGTGATGCCCTTTGCCAGTCTTGCCATTCTCAGCTCTGAGAGTCACAGGGCCGCGCAGTGCCTCCCATGGGATCTGAGTGAGCAGCCTGGGGATCCCGCAGGCCCCATCACACACACCAGGCAGCTCTCCGGGGAAGGTTCCCCAGGGGCTCACCTGCCTGCACCCTTTCCAGGGCACTGCAACCCCCCCTCTGCTCTGCTGATGGCATTTTGTGACAATGAATTCTGCCCGGGGCAGGGATGTGCCTCTTGTTATCTTCAGGTCCCAGCAAGCAGCACAGTCACAACGCACAGAGGTGCTCGGGATGCACACACCTGACTGAGAGGTGGGCATGTAGCTCCCCAGCCTGCGGTGGGGGATCTACTGAGGTCATGTCCTTTCTGAGGTGCTGCTCATAGACAATGGTGCTCTGCCCCAGTGAGTGCAGCTGCTTCGACCACAAGCCCCTGAGCTCAGGAAAGGACAACGCGTCTTCTGGCCCGCAGACCAACAGCTGCTGTCTGAGCCAGAGGCAGTGGTCTCCTATTGCTAACTGACCCCAAGTCCTGTGAAAGGCACTACGCTTCCTAGGTTTGCAACAGTGAGGTCAAGCTTGGAGGGCCTGCCTACTTTGCCCAGCAGGCGGCTGAGATGCAGGTCCATCTGCACAGAGCTCACACTCCCCCTGGCTGCTCTATCTTTGGATTTTAGCAATCTTGGTGGGAGGAGAGAGGTAGGGTGACAGTGTTCTAATAACATTCTCGCAGGCTAAGGATGAGCTGCAGTCCTGAACTGGGCCAGCCACAGCCAATGCCGCAGGCAGCCTCTCTACTTGAAACAACTGTAGGGGCTGGCAGCACGGTGTGACACAAGTTAAGCCTCCTCCGCCAGCGTCCCATATGGGTGCCGGCTTGAGTCCCAGATGCTCCACTTCTGATCCGACTCTCTGCTTATGGCCTAGCAAAGTAGTGGAGAATGGCCCAAGTTCTTGAGCCCCTGCACCCACGTGAGACCAAAAACTCCTAGCTTCAGATTGGCTGTTGCAGCTGTTTAGGGAATGAACCAGAAGATAGAAATTCTCTCTCCTTATTTGCCTTTCAAATAAAAATAAATATATTTTTAAAAATGTGATGTTTTAAAATTAAAACAACAGCCACAACTTGTAAACATAGGGCAAAGGTTAAAAAGGAGAGTGGACAGGTCAGAAATTACCATCGGGGGTACTTGCGTGTTTTCTAAAGTGACCATTGTGAGCTCAGTAAATTTGTTGCTGAAACATTAAAACCATGGGTTCCGGGTAATGGCCCAATGGCTAAATCCTCACCCTGCAAGTGCCAGGATCCCATATGGATGCTGGTTCATGTTCAGCTGCTGCTCCACTCCCCATCCAGCTCCCTGTTTGTGGCTTGGGAAAGCAGTCAAAGACAGCCTTGGGTCCCCACACCCGCGTGGGAAACCCAAAAGAAGCTCCTAGCTCCTGGCTTCAGATCAACTCAGCTCCAGCTGTTGCAGCCACTTGGGGAGTGAACCAACAGATGGAAGATCTTTCTCTCTGTCTCTCCTACTATCTGTAAATCTACCTTCCAAGAAAAATTAAAAAAAAAAAAAGAAGAAGAAGAAGAGAAAGAAAAGGAAAGGAAGCATGAAATCCCACTGTGGTTGAATTTATGGGAAAAATCAAAACCCAAGCACCCTTTGATGAGAACTTCTTCAACCTGAGGAATCACTTCCAAGTAGAAAAAGCCAAAAGAGGGAACAAGTTTTAGGCAAAGTCATCTCTGGAGACGGTATTTATGATGCTACAATGCTGGGCTGGCTGCAAGGCCCAGCGAATGGAGAACAGCAGAATGAGTGAACTGTGGGTAACACTGCCATCCTTTAGGGCTGAACACTAAGAAGAGCCCACAGACACACACGCCGCAGACACACACATGCCGCAGGCACACACACACCACAGGCACACACACACACAGCAGGCACTCACACTCGCTGCAGTCACACACACGCTGCAGTCACAAACACACCACAGGCACACACATGCTATAAGCACACACACAGTAGGTACATTCACACCACAGTCACACACACACTGCAGGCACACACACGTTGTAGTTGCACACACACACACACCGCAGGCACACACACGCCAGTCACACACACATTGCGAGAACACACACATTGCAGTCACACACACACACGCTGCAGGCACATACACCGCAGGCACACACACACACCACAGGCACATACACCGCAGGCACACACACGCTGCCAGGACAGCACGTGGTGATGCAGCAATGTTGTGTGTCCAAGACACAGGTGGATGGAAACCACCACGAACAGTTAGATCCCGGATGGGGGTTGATTTCAGAATGCGAGAACACAAATGCATAATAGGCACACACACACACACACATACCTATCGTCTCCAAAGAACTCACTTTGAAATATCAAGGAATACTGCAAATATTCCATTCATGGAAATGGAACTAGAAAATTAAATTTAGGGCCTATGCTGTGGTATAGCAGGGTTAAGCTGCTGCCTCGCCCCCACACGAGTGCTAGCTCAAGTCCCTCCCCTCTCCCATGTGGGAGACACAGAGGAAGACTCAGGCTCACGGAGTTGTAGTCATTCGGAAAGTGAACAAGCAGATAAAAATCCTTCTCTCTCCCTCTCTCTGATTCTGCCTTTTAATAATTAAATAAATCAATCAGTAAATAAATCTTTAAAGTTTATTTTGGTGCAAAACCGTTGCATATAGGTTATAGAAAATGCGTATTATAAAGAATCTACGTGAAGGGGCTAGCACTGTGGCACAGAGGACAACGCCACTGCGTGCGGCACTGACATCCCATCTGGGCACCGGTTTGAGTCCCAGCTGCTCCACTTCCAATCCAGCCTTCCAATAATGTGTCCCAGAAAGGCAGCGAAAGATGGCAAGGAGCTTGGGCCCCGCACCCACACTGGAGCTCTGGAAGAAGCTCCTGGCTCCTGGCTTTGGACCAGCCCAGCTCCAGCTGTTACAGCCATCTGAGGAGTGAACCAAAGGATGGGAGATCTTTTAGTTACTCCATCTCTCTTTTTCAAATGTACCTAAGGATGTCTTTCTATACAGAAACATCCTAAAGATCTTCTTTTTCTTTTAAAAATTATCTATTTTTAATGGAAAGTCAGATATACAGAGAGGAAGATCTTCCGTCTGATGATTCACTCCCAAAGCAGCTGCAAAGGCTGGAGCTGTGCTGATCCAAAGCCAGGAGCCAGGTACTTCTTCCAGGTCTCCCACGCGGGTGCAGGGTCCCAAGGCTTTGGGCAGTCCTCGACTGCTTTCCTAAGCCACAAGCAGGGAGCTGGATGGGAAGGGGGACTGTCAGGATTAGAACCAGCACCCATATGGGATCCTGGTGCATTCAAGGGGAGGACTTTAGCCACTAGGCTACCGGGATGGGCCCAGAAGATCATCTTAATGTAGCAAGTTTATCTTCAGGTGGTGAGAATATTTACTTTGTTCTTCATACATTTTTCAGTTGTTCCAAGTTTTTGCAAATGAATAAACGTGGGCAACTAAGACTTAATACTTAAGCAACTAAGATGCCTGCGTTCCACACCATAGCACCTGGTGGGCTCCTGCCCCCCTCCTCGGTGCCCTGTGCTGAGTTCCCAGCTCCTAGCTGGGGGCTTTTGTGGGGAGCTGGGAAGTGAACCAGCCAATGGGAGCTGCTAGCTTTCAAATAAAGAAACAATTTAAAAATAGTAACAAACCTACTTGCTTTATAATTGAAAAAAACAAAGAAACTTAATCTACTGTTTAATTGCCACTCTAAGTTACCCTTGGCAAAGTTCTCCAAAGCTCTAATCGTGTAGAGTGCCCTTCATACCACTTGCTTACCTGTGAGTGTTAGGGAGTGGCTGAGAGCCTGGTGGCGGGAGGAGAGGCCCGCCACAGTGCCCGCTACACGGGTGGTTGCACCCTGAGAATGGCGGAGGCATCTTCAGGAGTGGCATGCTGGTGGAGGGCAGGTGGGGGTTCTGACACGGCCCTGGGGGGTGGGGGGCGGCAGCGGCAGCAACAGCCACAGGGCACTCTGAAGCCTGGGTGGGGAAGGGTGCTGCCAGGGTAGTGGGCAGCAGGTGTGAGTGGGGCGGTGAGCCGAAGGAACCGGGGTGAGACGGTATCAGAGATGCTGGCTGGGGGTGGTGGCCGGTGGGGCTGTTAGGGGGGGCAGTGAGATCTGAGTGCTGGTGGTGCTCCGAGACGGGGAAAGCCTCACCTGCGGGCGAGAGGGGAAAAAGGGATCAGAGTGGGAGCCAGGAACGGGAAGAAAACCCCAAACCCATTCGGATGACCTCCTGTGCAGGAGCCCTGGGCCTGGTGAACTTTAGATGGGCTTGAGGAGAGAAAGCAGCAGGCACACTGCTCCCCTGCTCTGGTACCAGCAGCAGGTGTATTCCCTCTTAGGGTCCAGCTAGGACTGGCTTATCCACAGGCCAGCCTTTGGTCCAGAGCAGAAGCCAGTGGAACAGCTGTACCTCAATACCTCTGGGCCATGTGGACCAAAGCAGCCAGCACACACCTGCCTCCCAGGCTGACTTTAGTGAGCTAGAAGACTTTGGTGAATCTCTGTGGTTAACGGGCTAATGCCACTGGAATTACATGCTGCTCAATTCTCCACTTAGAAGTATGACAGACGAAACCCGGGGGGTTAGGGGGGAGGCGGATTTCTTCTGGATCTCTGAGAGAGATCTCAGAGTAAAGATGGCTTGCACAGCTGCTACATCAGCCACTGGGCCAGCCGACACTGCCACCCTCTTGTAGGAGGAAGTGCAGTGTTTGCCCATGGTGCTGCAGGGCTCAGGGGCTACGGGACCCAAGCCCCACTTCCCTCGAGGCCTCCCAGTCTCCACTTGTTCTCAGACGGTGCGCGGCAGGCTGCTCCTGAGCCAATGACAGCTCCGGGGTGAGCTTCTGTTTATCAGCAGGAGTTTCAACTTTGAAGTCCTGAGGCAAGCGTTCCGTAGAGGAAGAATCTGGCCTGCCCTCCAACCCATCAAGGCAGCTCCACCTTAACGGATGTTCCTAAGCAATCTTGGGATTCGTTCGCACGAAGTGCGTACAGAAACCCGGGCAGTTTACCAGGATGGTGCCCGGTGTTCTGCCGTGCTCGGAGACTCACCGGGGATGGCAGGACTCCCGAGCGAGCTGCCTGGCACAGCCCCACCGGAGTGCGGCGAGTTCCAGAGGCCCGACAGCTTGTGTGCTGACAGGAACGAGCTGGGATCCCAGTCTCCTGAGTTCCCATGGCAGGAGGAGGAGGAAGAGGAAGAGGATGATGAAGAGGAGGACGAGGAGGAATGAGAGTCACCCCCGCAAGACTGCGATTTGCAGGATGTGTGTGACAAGGAGATCTGGAGAAGGAGAAACAAAAAGGCCCGCGGTCAATGGGTGAACAGTGCAGGTGCATCTGCTGCCTCAGCTGACCCCGCGGGAGCTCCCCTCCTCCAGGCACCCACGCCGTGACCAAAGCTCCCAGCGGAAGGACCAATCAGAGCCAGGCTCCGGCTGGGAGAGGGCTGTGGGGCTCCCAGCCACCCCAGGGGTCATTTTGGGGAGAGAGATTCTGTGAAGTGCTGAGACCACCCGTGAACGTGAGCCTGGGAAAGTGGGGAGAGCTGCCCACCAGAGGAAGCACCTCAGCCTGGAGCCCGGAAGTGGGACCAGTTGTGGGTCAAAGACAAAGTCTGCAGGGGAATGGGAAATGGAGGAGCGTCTGGCCACTGTGTCTCCTGGCACGCCGGTCCTAGATGGCATCCGGGTACCTGGAGCCCTTGCCAGTAAGGCCATTTCAGGCCCTCAGGTCACACTGGATGGCTCTGGAGCTGCTACAGAGCTGAAGGCGGCAGGGAGGGGACAGCAGGATGCCCTACCAGCACCTATGAGTCCTCATCCTGGGCACAGACTTTGCTGAGGGCTCGCTGGGCTGCCTGAAACCTTTCTCCTTCCCTTATGTCTCAACCTGAGCCGCGAGCGCTGGCCGTGCAGCCCGGGAGCCTCTCGGCGCACACACTGAGGCCCGCCACAGTGCCCGCTACACGGGACAGGCACCTGAGAGCACGGGGAAGGACGGCCTGGCTGCTCTGGGGAGGCAGCCTTCCGTTATTTGGAGACCCCCTGTCAGCGGTTACCTACCGCCACTGCATGTTCTCGACCTGTCTGTCTTTCATCTTCCTCCATGCTCTTTCGGCAACTCTGGCAGACCCACAGAGGCATCTCGCCTAGGAGATTCTTGACGAGCTTTGGCATGAAGTCAGGGGGCAGCTTCTCACCCTGCAACACCAGTCCATTTTGCGAAGGGCCTTCTTCCCAGCCTTTCCGTTCCCGGTGACAGAGCAGGCAGCAAGTCTGCACAGACTGGCTGGTGGTCGGGGGCACCTGTCCAACAGACAGAAACAGGGTTTCCCAGTGGGGTGGGGGAAAGGCTCTCCTTAAACATACCGCTAGCAATATTAGTAATGCTACTGGTTATTACGTGCCAGGCACTTCATAGACATCATTTAACTGTAGTCCTTGTACCAGCTCTGCAAATGACGTGTTCTTATTCCCATTTTTGTTTTAAGAGATGAAGAAACAGATTTGAAGAAGTTGAATGAGCTGCCCAAGAAGACATAACTAAAAAAGTGGTCATAGCTAGTAAGAGCGTGACTCCAAAGCACATGCTGGGAGGTCCGGAGGCCCCAGCGTTCCCAAAGCCAGCCCTTCCCTGCTGCCCAGCACTGCGACCCCCGGGGCAAAGCTTCAGTGGAATGGAGAGTTGGAAAGGATGAGTGAGTCTTCCAGGAGTTGTACCATGGCTTCAGGACTGCAGGCCACTGGGAGGGAAGGGTTTGTAGAGCCAGCCAAAAAACATCCGCTACTGCTCTGCAAACGTGTGGTGGTGAGCATGGTGGAGAACCTGGGCTCGAGGGCCAGACAGACACTCAACGCTAACTCCTGCCTGACCGCACGTCAGTGGGATGACCTTGAGCAACTTATTTAACTTCTGTGAGTTGCAATTCCTACCTACGTTGCAGAGCTGACATGAGGGATCACTGAGTAAGTAGGTATAGTAAGAGGCTGTGTGGGCCCACGTACGGGTACAAAACACAGCCTGTATGGAGTGGATTTGACCCACAAAAACAAGCCTGTGGGTGTTCTTCCACACTGAGTGGTCCTGACTAGACCGATTGATTTTAATGGCCCCAATCAAAGGCCTCTGCACTTCCTGCCAACTTAGTGTTCCCTGCCACTCACATCGGGCTTGGCCATGTCACTTTGTTTGGCCAGCAGCAGCTTAATGGGTGCGGCTGGACTTGCTCACCCTGGCACCTCTGCCCTGACATAAAAGGAGCAGGCTGGCTGCTGGGGAGACACAAGAAAATGTTGAACTGAATCAGAGACAGCCGAGAGTCGAGCTGAGCGCCAGGCCTGCCCGGATCAGCAGAAACAGCCAGCTAGCAGCAGCCTCAGGAGGAAGCGTACAGAGCGGTGTTTGGAGTTGTTTAGTTTTGGGGTGGTTCATTACACAACCAGTGTTCATGGTACACCCTCTAGACTCGCCCACTACTAGATGGCATGTATTTGCCGAGGCCTCAAGGAAAAACAGGAAATTGTCCTTATTCTAATAACATAACAAACGTTACCACCTTCCCTAGCATGAAATCTCCTGCTCACAGGAGGCCCTGTCCGAGAATTCTACCAGTTTACAACCACAGTGACCTCCGACCCTGGTTTCTGCCAAAAGGAGCACTGGCAGCCTAATGGGCACTTGGGGAAGCCCAAGAAATGTGGGAATGCATGCCAGGGAGGTGGAACTCTCCACGTGGAACTCAACAGAAGATGTCACTCAGTGGGGCCCGCAGAGGGAGCGTTTCAGTGAGGCAGTGACTATAAAAGATCTACAGTCAGGAGTGGAAGGCTGACGGGGAAGGATGCTGTCTGGATAAGGTGAGTAAAAAGAGAATGTTGTGAGAACTGTACCTAAGGAACCTTCCACAGCCACAGGGTGCCATGGCAACCCTAACCAGGAGTTCAGGTCCATGTCCAAGTCCCTTTTCCTGTAATGACGGTGACCATATCCAAGGCAAACACCACGGCATGAAACTTTCATTTAACCTGCATGTTAGCTTCTAAAGTCGTTACGTAAGATGAAAACCTTGCATGAGTAAAGCTATTTTTAGAATCTTTTTCTACGGCGTCCAAAGTACATGTGACACATGGCTTTGTAGGGATGCCCAAGAATCCTAACGTCTGATATATGAGCCAAAGCACAAGTACTGATTCCATTCTTAAAAGCAAATGTGGGGCCCAGCGTGATAGCACAGTGGTTAAAGTCCGCGCCAGATCTCATATGGATGCCAGTTTGTGTCCTGATGGCACCATTTTCCACCCAGCTCCCTGCCTGTGGTCTGGGAAAGCAGTCGAGGATGGCCCAAAGCCTTGGGACCCTGTACCTGCATGGGAGACATGGAAGAGGCTCGAGGCTCCTGGCTCCTGGCTTTGGATCGGCTCAGCTCCGGGTGAGGCAGCCACTTGGGGAGTGAATCAGCGGACAGAAGATCTTCCTCTCTGTCTCTCCTCTTCTATATCTGACTTTCCAATAAAAATAATAAATAAATCTTTTTTAAAAAATGTGTATTTCTTGGGAGCAAAATGTGTGATCAAAGTGGCCGCACATGGTGCAAAGTACTTGGGGGAGGTGCTGGGAACAGCGGAAGGAACGTTAACTTTGGTGTGAATCCGGGGCCTTCACCAATCACAACTCTGACTGTGCTACTTAACTTGTCTGCTCATCTGTAAAACAGAATGAAGCACTCTCCCGTAGGGTTGCCTTTAAGAATCATACGGGATCAAGCTGCAAGCCAGTGCCCGGCACACACCGAGTTGCTCAATACGCAGCACCATACAACAGCACGAGGGCAGCGAGAGCCTAAATGACACAGCGTGTGACTCCTTCGCACACAAGGTGACTTGGCAGACATCTAATCCTCTGCCCTTGTCCGCGGGGGGGCAACCCTAAAGTGCCTTTGTACTTCTCCCCCATGCTTTTGCAAAAAGAGATCCTCTCTTTGAATTCTCCCTCCTTCCTTCCAACACACCGCAGCTGGGTGGGCTTGGCTTAGAGGCCCGGCCTAGACCCACTGTTCCCCACGCCTGGCTGTCCGCCCGCCTCTCTCCAGCACGCTATCTCGGTAACAGCATGTGCGTCCCGTGTTTACCTTCCACCCCTGCAGTGCCCGCACGGGGTGCCACTGCAGGGCGGGAGGCAGATCACAGGCTTGTGAGGTGCCCTTGGAGCAATGTGGCTGGCTGGCAGCTTGGCAGGGACACACTGCTTCAAGTGACTGCTTCCTGCACATGAAGGCCCGTCTCTCTCCCTGCAGCTGTACCTGAGAGAAATCCCACTCCGCAGTGTGGAATCCCTTCATCAGGGATTATAACGAGGTAACCTCAGTTAATGGGAACCATACTATGACCCTCCACAGAGCCCAAAATTGTACACCAAATAAGATTAGCCCTCAGTGAAAGAAATTCTATAGGAGAGGTTGGCTTTCCAGTTTAAGAAACAAAACTGGCAGGCCCGGCAGTGTGGCCTAGCGGCTAAAGTCCTCACCTTGAACGCCCGGGATCCCATATGGGTGTCGGTTCTAATCCCGGCAGCCCTGCTTCCCATCCAGCTCCCTGTTTGTGGCCTGGGAAAGCAGTCGAGGATGGCCCAATGCTTTGGGACCCTGCACCCGTGTGGGATACCCGGAAGAAGTTCCTGGATCCTGGCTTCGGATTGGCACAGCACTGGCTGTTGCGCTCACTTGGGGAGTGAATCATCGGACGGAAGATCTTCCTCTCTGTCTCTCCTCCTCTCTGTATATCTGACTTTCCAAAAAATAAATAAATCTTTAAAAAAAAAAAAAAAAAAAAAGAAAGAAACAAACCTGCTGCCCAGAAAGCAGATTAAGCTCTGCTGAAGCAGGGATGCCACCTTCCTGGCCTAAAGCCACCAGAGCTGCCAGACACTTGAGGGGCTGGGATCCAAGCAGCAGGCACACACTACCCAGGGCCCTCACCGTTCTGTTCTCTCTAAGTGTGTGTATGTCAGAAACCAGCGTGGTGACCGATCTTCCCTGAGTTTGGTCTGTTTAAGTCCTTCAGTCAGATGCTCCTCCGAAAGCTCGTCTCATTGCTAGGCCCCGGTGCCTAACCCTGGGAAGAACGCCCTATGGAGCAAGGTATTTTTATCCTTGCAATGACCACAAAAGAGTGGTAAGGATCTGTTGTCACTTCACTTTTTTTGCTTTGACGGATAAAAGCTCTTGGACTGTCCACCTTCTGCCATTTTCGAAGTTCTAGCAATGGTGAGCCCTTACGCCTCAAGAGTCACCCAATGCAGAATTTTAACTTGCTGTCCTCACACTGTATTTTTAGCAACTGGCATGGTATTCCCCCACAAAGAACATCATCAGTGATGTTTAGTGAATGAAAGACAGTCAGCTCTTCACCTCTACCACACAGCTGACAGTAAGGACTCGGCCTGCAATGCCTGCATCCCCCCTGGATGCCACTTCACATCCTGGCTGCTATGCTTCTGAAAGCTGGTCTGGGAATAGTAAAGATGGCTCAAGTCCTTGGGCCCTTGCCACCCCTGTGGGAGACTGGGCCTAGCTCTGGCCTTGGCCCAGCGCTGGGAGTTGCAGCCATCTGGGAAGTGAACCACTGGTTAGAAAATTTCTTCCATCCACAATCACCTCTGTAAGTCAGATTTTCAAATACACAAGTCTAAAACAAAACAAAACAAAACAAAAGCCAGCACCCCAGGGCAACAACAAACTGTCCTGGGTCACCTCAGTTTAAACTTGAGAGCCACAGAGCATACAAGCGTAGCCTTGGGCACTAGATGAGCAAAAAGGAAGAGAAAGTTCTACGGGTTCTGTTGCTTTGGGATCTGACTCAAACTGCACCAAGATAATTTTGCTTTACCTGAGCAAAGCCGGAGTGTCCTTGGGGGAGTGTAGGATTACCTGCCAGCTTTGTTTAGTACCACATCCCCAGGGCAGTGAAGCTGCCAGGGGATCTCAGGAAGGAGGCTGCCTGCACCTGCTCAGTAACTCTGGAGACTCCAGCAGTTGAGAGATCCACACCCGCCTCCAGCTCCTGACTCCAGTTTCTCGCTAACACAGACGACGGGAGGCAGCAGCGATGGCCCAACTAACAGGGCTCCTGCCATCTACACGGGAGACCAACGTCAAATCCCTGGCTCCCGGCTTCAACTGGACCCAGTCCTGGCCATTGTGAACACCGGGCAGCGAGCCAGACAGAGGAAAGGAGCCGTCTCCCAAACAAATTAATTTAGAAATTAAACAGAAGGAGATATAAGCCAGTATTTCTGCTACCTAACCTGA